TTGTCATCCAAGGGGTGAACTTCGATAGAAAGGTATAAATCAACATCATCAGCAGTGACGAGATAATCTGGCCTCTTTGCTCCTGCGTTTGGATCAAAGCAGTCAAGCTCTTAGCGCCATATGTTTTTCTATCACCATAATTAACAATAAAGAAAAACAGAAAGACAATCTTTGAGGATTAAGCAAGGGTTAGTAGGGAAAATGTGTACCATCAATGTAGTTCACTGATCCATCCTCAAGATGTCGTACCCACTGAAAATTCAAGAAAGGGAGAACCAAAGAAGATTATTAAAATGCAATGTGACGTAAACTGGGTAAATACAAAAGCTTTCAATTTCGCATGCACCTCAAAATTACATTTTGTCGTTCCGTTGATAGAGTGACCAGAAACCTGAAGCTCTCGTCCAGGAAATGGTTCTCCTGATATCTGTAAGTCTGCTATACCTGGCAATGGATCCTCATCCGGACCTGCCAAAAGTGATTTACAATATTTAAAACAAAGTGAAAGACAGTGATGGAATTGGTATTACACCACTTTATTGCTATTAACCATTACCCTCGGAAATTGATGAAGATTGTTCTTCAAGAACTGAGGCCAAAATTGGATAATTTGAGGGGCTTGGATCTTCATCAGCCACATAAGTTTCCAAACTTTGATTTGTTTCTGCTTGTACTTCTGCATATGCATCGTCCATAAAAGTATTGCTGAGGGGCTCACGAAACTGAACACGACTACTTGGTCCATGTGATTCATCTTGATTGAGAGCTGGTTGCACAGGCATATGGAAGGCTGGCGATCTTCTGTTACACAAGACACATTTGATCATTTAACTAATCTCAACACTGCAAATCGAAAGCATTCATCCACCATTAGCTGCATTGCATAAAACCAGGCGAAGACTGAGAAAGTGTTACCATGCTACAAAGTTTACCTTTTCATGGCTACATAAAAAGAAAAAACTAACAACGGTTCAAAGAGTAGCAAAGAGTGTCTAATTGATAGAAAAACTTGACATAGTGTGCATTTAGCTTCTCCCAGCCCATTACCCAAAAATTAAAATATTCATTGCTTCTGGCATCATCATTACATCCCTTACTCTTGGTATTTGTTAAGAATCACTACTAACCCGGGTCTCCAGGAATCAACAACAAGTTAGTGCATTAATACCTCTCGGGACCATCAAGATGGTAATTACTTGCAGCTGAGCCATTACGCCCATCTTGATGATGGTGTTCCGGATCTGTCTAATGGAAATAAAAGAAGAAATTTTGAATTCAAGTCACATAAGCACATTGATAGGAAATAAGGAATATGAACTTACTGGGTATCTCAAGCCCACACCAACAGGTTGATATGGTGACAAAGGCGACGCATTTGAGTGGTTTACATCCGACTGCCACGGTGTTAACTGGTACTCTCTCTCTTTCAGCTTTGTCTAATGCCAGACAAGAAAAAAAATTAGAACAAATCACCTAATCATAGATCGGTAGCTAATAGCTCCACCAAATAACAGGGGACTAAATCATGATTACAAATGAAACAAACGCTGAAATATGATGTCAGCAAACCCCATACCCGCATATCATACCTCAGTAAGACGGAGCTTCTCCTGCAGATGCCTAAAAAGAACCTGAATATGATGTAAACATCAATCACATGTTGTGACGGGAAAAAGATACAACAAAAACTTCACTCCAACATCAAGAAAGCAGGGAGCTTAATCAATCACTTTGGTTCTCTATGATGCTCAAAATTACTGAGGAGACCATTTTATCACATTTTGTATTATGTTTTTTTTACTTTAATGAATTTCAAGGCGACAAAGTTGAAACGTTTCCAGCCAAAATGCAGAGCAACCACCCAAACTACTATTCTACAGCAAATAGTTTTCGTAGATAGACGGTCAAGGAGATCTGTAAAACCAAACAAATAAACTAATTAAAGATAACAAACTTAAGATTCTCGTTCTAACCTTCACACTGCTGACAATAGACTGAGAATCAGAGAGCTGTGGATGCAGTGAATATTCTGATAGAAGAGGCAACAAGTACGATACAAAAGTAGATCTCTCTTGCTCTGCATCCTGATAAAATTAAAAAGGCAATTTAAACTTAGATTTATAACATGAAGCGCGGGTGCCCAAGACAAACATATGACTTTGCTGTCAATTGAACCACTAAAAATGGTCGGTAAGAAATGATGATAACTGGAGTCCAACCAAAAAGGATTATAAAAAAACTGGAAATGAAGATTAACAATGCATATGCAAAAAGACAGAAAATCATAGTCGCATACCAAAAGATACAAGATGATAATACCTGTAAGGCATATGTTAGGCGTATATTTTCCTCAATGATCTCCTGTCGGTAAGAAAGAGATTTTGATGCAGCATCAACAAGGTCTTGTTGTTGTTGATCAAATGCCTGTCACAACAAGACGGAAAAATAGCCCCTAAGTGGTTACCAGAATAAGTAACTAACCGTTTCACAGATTTTGAAATAAATAGAAAGAAAAGCTAACCAAACGCATGTGCGCAATACGCTTTTCCAAAACATATTGTTCATTGCGTACTTTGGCTTCCTTAAGAAAAAAGCCAAAAGGTTAGTAAGACAATGTACGTAAAATCAACCATGTCTGCATAAAAACTAGAGATTAAAACAAGCGATTCACCTTGACAGAATAGTCAGCAAGATATTTCCGTAAGCGTAAAATCTCTTGTTCTTGTTCTTGGACCTTGTGAATGAGCTCCTGGATAATTGTTTAGTCAGGAAAACATTTTCCCACTTTCACTAGAAAGGTAGAAAAAAAGAAAAAGATAGTAAGTGTGACTGCGACCTGCTTCCATGCAGTGCCTGAATTATTTACTTCACCTACTGGCATCAACTCATGAGAAGATGAGTTGATGTGCGAGTGATCACCTTCCAATAGCGGTCTAACAAAGGAAAAACAGATACTGGATTACAAGAATACACTCTGCCTTGATGCGAATGTAGCACAACCATGAGATAAACATGAAACTGCAGTATGGGGCCAGTGTTAATTAGAGGTTCATTACCTCATAGGAGATAATGATATTGAAGATGGCGACAAAGACAACTGAGAGGATCCGGCACCACCTACAGTTTCTCTGACAATGCCATTATTCATGATTCCCTCAGAATGGTCCTCAGAACGATTACTCAAAGTAGCTTCCTCTCCATTTAGATATACATGCTGGTGAACAACCAGCATACCTGACGAATCAGCACCTGAAGCATTGATTTTTCCCTTCCTCCGGTCGATTGGATTAATACCAGCAACCAACTGGTGTAAAGGGGAAGACCCACCAGTTGTGGTATTCAAGTGGAGATCAGATGTCTGGGGCAAGGATTCTTCTGATTTCTAAGGGACAGAGAAAAAATAAAATTACCATAACATATACCACAAATTTGGTCAAAGAAACTCTAAATGCCATGGAAATGTCAACAGAACTCTAGGTAAATCCCTGAAAATCATTAGGGACCAAAAGGTATAATATATCTGTCCTTTCACCAGAAAAATGAAAATGAAACGACTTACATATTTGGCAAGCTCCAGATATCTTCTCTGAAGTTCAGCCTTTAAGAGGTTATTCTCCTCCACCTGGTCAGAGATAAAGTCAGAGAAGACCAAGAAAATCTATCTGCTGGACGCAAATGAGTGTGCCCAAATCATTTCCCAAGTAAGTAATTAAACAGATTCATATCGAACCATCCATTTTGCAGTAGAAAATGCAAGGAAATAAGCAATTCATAAATTGACCATACAAGCAAAATATAACCAACCTGGCATTAGTTAAGAGTAACCAACCTGCATTTTCTACAGCTATTCTGATATGCCCTAAAGAAAGTTACACAGAACCTTGGGAAAATATCTCAATGAAGCGACTGAGGCATTGAGCAGAGTACCTCTAAAGTAAAAGTGTTCTCATTTGAAACAAATTCAAAGATACAAAAGAGAGAAGCTAAATAAGAACACAGACCTGCTGCTTGATAGTGGCTTCTGCTGCTTCAACAGCTTTGATAACTTGAAACAAACTATCATTTTTAACGTCGTTTTCATGGGAACCAGAAGACTCTCTGAGACCCACTCCTGAAAACCTCTGGGCAAGTCTTTCCTCATGGCCGTTGTCCATATTCTTCAGTCCTCGAAAAAGCTCACGAATCCGAAATCGAACCCTCGAGAGTCGAGTAACTGAACCAAAGACACGGCTCCAATTTCAGCCTACTCTCAAAATCTCATCTAGGTTTTCGAGAAACTAATCACCATTTAAGGTATTATCCGAAGAGAAGCTTCGAGATTTCAATAGTAGTGACGAGCTTGGAGATTGAGATTAAGATAGAATGGTATGATTGAGAAGGAGTGATGAAGATGAGTTTCGAATCATACGAAAACACACAAATGGATTTTAAAAAGTTTTTGCATCTTCTTCTTCTTCTTCTTCGAGCAAATAAACTCTCTCAGTTTTTCTTGTCTAGTTGTGGTGACCTCAGAATTGGGTTTCTCATTTTTATTTATTTTTTGTTTTTGGTTCCAATTCTAATTATTAAAGTTGTTTTCTTCTCTTTAGTAGTAGTGTTTATTAGATAGATATAGAATATTCATTACTCATTATTGTCTTAAATTTATTTTATCATTATTATTACACCAAATATATTTGTTATTTTCTGCAATTGTAGTAACTTCAGTTTTTTATTTTATTTGGCAACCTGTAATTATAGTAACTTATTAAAGTTCGATTCTACTACTCTCAATATTATATATTTCGACAGTATATATCTTTATACTAATTATTTTTTATATGTTACTTTAATCACAAAAACAAAAAATTAACACCTAAGCTTATTTGGAATTGGAAAGCACTCATTGTACTACTAATTAACAAACAAGAACTGGATGTTTAATTTCCATATCTCATTTTTTTTTTTTTGTGTGCTTTCAGGCTTTTCCCAACGAGAATCACTATAAATGTAAGACGAGATGCTGCAAAAACAGTGACTGGATCTAACAAACTGTTTGTACTCAGGTAGTCTAAGGTCATAACACTGTGAGAGCTTTACATCCTTTTTTTATTCGCTGTTTACTTAAAAGGAGGAGCAAAAACCTACTGCAATTTGAAGATAAAAGACAGACAATAACAGCTAACTGAAACCACTCTTGACTGAATCTAATAGTCTTTCGAAGTATTCCATTAGTTAAACTCGACGAAGAACATCGGTTAGTAAAACTGCCGATTCCATGCTTTGTCCTGTCATCCAAACCCTGAAGGTTTTGGTGAAGTACTCTGCGTCGTGCCAAGCTTTGAGTTGCATGAGAGAGAAAGGTCCCTGTACAAGACCCTGAGGATCTTTGTATAACCAGTTGAACTTCTCTTTATCATAAGACAGAACCTGAACATCTTCAACTCTAGGGTCAAGGGTCTCTCCATCACCGTTGTCATCATCATCATCATCGCTCAGTTCGATTATCTCTGGTGGATTTGGTTGAGCTTGAGATACGTTGTTGGGATTCGTTGCTGACATATTTGGCTCAAGCTCAGAAACTTCGGCCTCTTTACTCGGCATCTCTCCTCCAGTGATGCCATTTGCTGGCTGTTCTACATCTCCATGAAGATATTCATCACCTGTTTAATTCAGTAGAATCCGGATTGGCATCAATTGCAAAACCATCTCATCCTTTTAAATAGGTATTAGTACTATACAATAGAGCAAATCACAACAACCAGTTGACGCGAATCCATCTCGAATCTTTTAAAGATCCCTACGTCAAGAAGCCAGCATAGCTACAAACGAATCATTATATCTCTATTCTATTTTCACTAGCATTCTTTGCATACTTTTTATCTTTCAGATTCTACCAAAGCCAACAACAAAAAGAAAAAAAGAGAAACCAAAACGTCTATACTAATGCTTAAAAAGCTTCTACAAACTGTAGATGAATCTTCAATAACCCATTCCTCTGGCTTGAATTTTCCAGTTTTCAAATAAATCAAGAATTTTATAGGACAAAGCAGTAAAATCACTGTGTTCTCAACATCTATAACTATATAAGGCAGATAAGATGCAAGTATATCGTCGCAAGAACATGTCGTAGCTAAAGATGAGTAACATGTTAAGTAAAGAAAAAAATTGACTGATATAACAAAGAACAATGATGGTAAGATGCAACACAGTGAAACAAGTAACCCTATAAATGTTATGACGCACCTGCAGAAGCAATCCAAGTTGGCAATCTCTCGTTTAATTCCACAGCATGAGACGTGATTCCAATAATTGTGCTGGGGTTTGATATCAGATAGCCATTACACTGTTGATCGTCTCCACCAAAGAGGTTGCGGACTTCTGGGGTTTCTTGGATGCATGATAATGGAGATTCACTCAATCGTTGCTCGTTGTCACTATTATGATCCTCAGGGGACTCTTCAGGGTCTGGTACAAGTTTCTCTTCAATAACTACTGGAACTTCACTGAATAGCCGGGCCTGTTCTTCTGGATTTTGCAGAAGCTCCCTCTTCTCCAGGTACTCGGACAGCGTAACAACTCAATAAATCAAGGAAAAAAATCTATAAACAATGATGTTTTTCTTGTTTCAGATCTCACTACCACTTTCTCTGAACATTATTACTTAAAGGATATTCTCTTCGCCATCCCTTCTCATTGGCCCGGTGAATAAGCCTTTGTAACAATATAATTTCTCTTCCAAGCCACTAACAAGGCAGTCACCAAAGGTTGACGGTTAGTTAGAAGAAATAATACCACAATTTGCTTTTTTCTACTTAAAATACAGTTAAAAGTTGATCATTGTAAAAGGAGTGTGCTTCAGTTGCTATCATAGTAGTCACATTCATAAGCATGAGGAATAAGATATACAGAAATGTAGCACGGTCCGCAAACATACATGTTTTGTCTGATCTTCATGTAAACTTCTAGCCTTTTCTTCCATCTCCACCTATCCGAGGTTCAAAATGAGTTATGCTTAAAGAACTACAAAATCTAAAGGACATAACAGCAAGTGGTTGGGATTCATGATAGAAATATGTAAATCTTTAACAGAGAGAGCTGAAAATAAATATCTTCCAAACCAATGCAAAATGGGAAAATTACAATTGTGGGCTTCTTAAGAAGATCATTCTTTACTCTCTGATGCAAATCTTCACATTCCTCCTGCAAAAAATTTACATAGTGCTATGAAAAATCATAAGAATACATTGACTAGAATGGGCGCTGGTCAAACATTGTAATCATGAAAGATAATAGCTCTTATCTAACTAGAAAACAGAAGCCCAATGACTGGTTCTCAGAACACATGGATATCTGACTTCAGAAGAAAAGAATTCGAGGAATGAAAATGGCTTCAAAGTAATTTACCTGGGAGAAATTGTCATCTGATAGCACAGATATAGAAACGTCTTTCACATAATTTGTAACCTGGAGAAGAAAATCATCAGTCCCATGTTCCTTCTTCACGCCTAGATAACAGACAAAACAAAAGAGCTCAACTTTCTACAACAGACCAGAGACATGTAAGCAAAGTTAGATAATGGTAGAGATGTGTGATTAGCTTGTTCCATAGAAATCATGAATTGAACGCCGACACAATCACAAATCAATAAAGAACTTTCAGAAAATTACCTGTCACTTGAACAAGCTGATAAGGGTTCTTCTGAAGATAATCATTAGGGTCAGACTTGATCCTCACAAAACTTCCCAACATTTTACCCTCAAAGGTGTCAGGAGAGTTGAGCAGTTGCTGAACTAAACTCTTTCTCAAGTAGAGAAGCTTGATGTTATCACTGACGATTGCAGCAAAAGTACCTCTAGCTCTAGGTTTCTTAACAGCCTTACTTGCCCGTTTAGCTATCTTGTCCGAGTGAGAAATGAACTGCGGGGGCTCATCATCGTAGAGAAAATCAAAGTCTGAATCGTCCTGGTTCTCAGCGTAATGCTTTTCCAGCAGATCATAGACTTTCATTCTGAAAATAGTCCTAGTCCCGAAAAGCAAAACCAACCTCTTGTCGCACACAACTTTCTTTTTGTTACAAGGATCTAAAAGACCTTCCTTGGCAATATACTTAGCAATAGTATCACAAACATCATAGCGAGAGATCATTTCAGTAGTATCTTTACCAAGTGATTGGAGAAACTCAATGAGCTGTTTCGAACCCCATCCTAGAAATTCTAATCGTTTAGGTCTAGCCTTCCTTTTCCGCGAACAAAAAGCAGAGGCATTACCCTCCTCAACCCAAGTTATATCCCCCATTACAACCCCCCCACCAAAATTATCTCTCAAACCCTAAGAAAAAAAAAAAAAAGAAGTCACACCTCTATCTATCTAGCTTAGGAAGTAATACTGATTCCTAAATTCCAGAAACCAAAGTCGTGGCGAGGAAGAAATTTCCCCTTTTGACGAAATGCACGAACTGAGGAAAACAATCCACCGAGCGAATCGCGGAAATTACTCAGCTCGAGAGAGAGAGAGAGAGAGAGGAGCTCTCCGGGAAGAGATTGACGGAAAGCACAAAATATCCGGCAGGATAAAAAAAAAAGAAAAGGGAAAGAGGAGAGCTCAGATTCTCAGGCGACTTTGAGAGAGAGAGAGAAGGGAAGGCAAAGGACCAGTGGCACTAAAGCATCAACACCATTCACCACGTGCCCCTCTTTTTTCTTTTTTAATTTTGTAAACAGATTCTGATTATCGCTGAAGATTTCCTTAAATAAAACCAATTAACGAAGAATATAATTTTGTAACTGGTCGATAACCCAAATACGGAAACAGAGCCAACAAACTTATCATACATTTATTGTTATAATCAGCTTTGATGGTTTTTTTTTTTTTTTTTTTTTTTTTTTTTTTTCTCTTAACAATCAGCTTTGATGGTTGAACCGTTGAAGTGGTCGACCCATAAACATACATACGTAATTATAAGATTTGCTTTTAGTAAAAGATCAAAGGATAATTAAACCGAGTGTGTAATATTAAAGTTCAGTTGCTAACCTTTTTGAAACAAACATGAAGAAAGCACGGTCCGTCTTTTTTTGATCATAATAATAAAAATAAATATGTTAAGTTTTACAATCTAACATTTTTATTTTATTGTTATAAATGTTAATACTTACTAATGAGCTGAAATGATATGTAAAACCACAATATGGAAATATGCATTGCTTCTAATTGAAAAATTAACATATTTTAGTATACAAGATACAAAAAATAGAAAAACTTTTTTCAGAGTTTCCTTTTATTCATCTAATGTATATAAAATGCGATCGACAAGAGACATATTTATTAAATATTTTATTCATGAAAAATGATATAATTTATCAAAAGTAATTTTTTTGGGATACCTTATTTTTTTTCCAAAAATATCACCATTTCTTTTCTATTCCAAAAATACTAAAAAAGTTTTATTTTTTCAAAAATACCATAAACATAAAAACTTAATTTTGAAGATGTAGAATTTTGTCTTTAATGTTTTGAATGACTATTTTTACGTATATTTTTTCGGGGTAGGGTTTAGTGTTTTGAATTTATAAATTAGTTTTGAATGTTTAAAAATTTAAGTTTTCATTTTGTGGTATTTTTGGAAAAAAAATATTTTAGTGATAGTTATGGAAAATAAATTTATTAATAGTATTTTTAGAAAAATATTTATTTTAATGGTATTTAAAAAAAAATCTTTTTCATGGAGCTATATGTTTAAAGAAAGAAAACAAAAAAGAGAAGAAAAAAGAAAGAGAGCATGCATAACTGGTAAGTGCTTACAAAAAAATGAAATGTTAAATTTATTTATATTATGAAATCAGTTTGGTCCAAGTAGAGAAACCATACGACAGGCATGGATTAAAAAGCCCTTAAGCGTTGTTCTCGTCTTCCCTTTGATTATCCTTGCACTCCGAATCTATCTATCTATACTGCTTAGGTTTCGTCTCTGTTCGTAACTATTATAGTTGATCTTTAGGAATTGATAAAACTTTCTACTGTAGAAGGTTATTATACCAATAATGATGGTCTTATCAATTTCGACTGTTCGTAATTATTAAAGTTGATCTTAGGAATTGATAAAACTTTCTACTTGCCTTGTCATACTATTTTCTTTTTTGGTAAAAGGTTAAATTCCTTGTCATATTATTTATTATTTGCAGTGTATCTATCTTTACCCTATTATAAAGAAGAATGGGGTTTTTTCAAAAAGAAGAATTGGTTAGACGAGAAGCCCGAAAAGAGGATTCATAAACTTGAAAAAATAATAGACGAGCTAAACAGGGTATGTCGTTGATTTTGACAAAACTTATTCTTATTACTGTGGCTAATATCCATCATCATTACGTTCATGGTCAGGGGCATGATTCCTTATGCTGTAATGAGACATGAGCATGCACCTAAATAGTCTGGTATTGTAGATATTTAATCATCTAAAGAAGTGTCGGTTTCAGTCGACTGTATTGCTATCAAGTTTAAGATTCAAAGGTCTCTGCGCAGCCTCCAACCGGATATTTAAGTGACAGTGGCCTTAGCCAAGACCTTATACATAAGGATTTGATCAAAAAAGTGAAACACGAGGAAAAGATAAATAGTCTCAGGTAATTTTAAATTTTTCCTTTTTTAACATCACTAGCAACTGCAAGCTTACTTTTGAATCCATAAAAACAAAGTTTTAAACCTGTTTATAGTTTCGATCACAGATGTTTCAATCTTTTTTGGGGATAAAAACAAGTTCTAGAATTAATCTCTAATCTTTTTGGATTTCTTGGAAGGTTTATCAGCAGATGGAGCAGCAATATAATCCTCCGCATTCACTCTCTCGTGTGTCTTCTTCTGCTTTTTCAACTCCTTTGTCTTGCTCTGCAATATCATTACAACAAAACCAACTCAGAGCAAATTCCCCAAAGCAAAACAAGAGAGGTTGGCGGTTATAGATATCATTTTACCTTCAAGGAGTATGTTAACTCGGTTATATCGCTCTTTCCATCCTCTGAATTGTTTGACTTGTTGTTCACAGGTTCCTACAATAATCCAATCGAAGAAGTTAGTGTTTGGAATTAAAGGTAGACACGCCATTTGTATCTTGTGACAATCAAGTTAGAAGAGAGACCTCAGGTGGGAGGAATGAGGCATCTCTCTTTCTTTTGTTCTCTGTACTCTTCTCTGTCTGTTTCTCTTGCTTCTCCTGCCATTTTTTCTCCGACTTCTTTTTGTCACTCATGAAGTATTCCCCAGACTCCAATTGTAAATCAATCTGGAACAAAATCATTAAACAAGTTCAAAGCTATGTATTAGCAAGGCCAGGGAATCAAAAGACAAGAAAGCAGAACCTACGCAGCGCAAATATAGAAAAACCATGTTGAGAAACATTCTAACATAGAAAAACCAAACATTCTAACATATTGGGTTTAAAACCATAAAAACACAAAAGAAATATGGAGAACAACGATATAGGAATTGGTGGATAATTCACATAAGCAATTTTTATACCTTGCTAGGCGGTTGTGGAGGAGGGAATGGTGTGTATGGCTTCTTCTCCTTGCTTTTGGGCTTCTTTTGCTTAACATTTTTCCTGACAATTGAATTTTGAAATGCGCTCATGAGTTAATCAAGTTTTAAGAAATATCACTCAATTCACTAATCGGTAAACTAAGAGGGCCATACTTCTTAAATGTGGGAAGAAACCTATCCCAGCTTTCGGTTGCAAGAGCTGGATCCTTCTGCAGTTCCTTTTTGATCATGAGTTCCTGCATAACCAAGTTCGGAAGTATAAGAATCCATTTGACATGGTCTAATGAAAAAGCTTCTAAACCAACTTCTTGTGAGAGTAGTAAAACTGAATCACATGGAACCTAAAAAGAGAGAGAAATTTTCCATACAAACCTTTATATGGTATACAGGATGCATTTTGTTCTGGACGCAGTCTTCCACAATCTTTCTGATTTGTTTGAGACCTTTAAACGGACCCATTGCGGCTACAGTACTTCCCTGTTGTATCCAGGGAGCATGTAAATATCAGAAGTCCAAAGAAAAATGTACGACGGTAGTGAGACATTTGCAAAAGAAACAAATGTGTACCTGAACTAGAATGTAACAGTTGGTTAATATTTCCAGCGCCTGCAATAAGTCAAAATTATTCAGCTTCAAAGCACATAAGCATACAACAGTTTCACAACAACACCTCTTACGCATTACAGGAATAGTATCACTAAGACTATCTCTAAACATCTCTGATAAATATAAGACTTTGAACCAGACAGTTGACAAACCTTCAAGGTAGAGGAATTAGGACCCACAAGTCGCTGCCTTCTTTTAACAAATCTTTCCTGCAAAGATAAGTCTATATTAGGGCCTGTTGTCTATGCATGCTATATACATATTGACCTTACACTCATTCTCCGAATGCTAGGTTAAGCATCACCAAGTATTCCATGTTTATAGTAGAATGTTATATCATCGTTGAATTGTCTTAAGATATACGGATCAAAATGAAAGACTTAGGCCTCATAATAATCCCAGTGACAAAGATAGAACAGTACCCTATTCCGAACCAAGTTAGCAATCTTGATGATATCACACTGCACCTCATCGTCTAGAATCTTAATTGCCTGTAATACAAGTGAAAGAAAATCCATGAAACAGTAGCATAAACAACAAATATCCAAAATTAATAGCTTTCCAATTACATGAAACAAACACATAATTTGTTAAACCTCAAATGTAACAACATAATACCTGAGGAGCAGGGACACTTCTGGAAAGAAGCTTAATCAAATCCCTAGCTTTGACAATGATGTACGGATCTCTTGTCTTCCTCGTCGTTGAAACAGTCATAGAACCTTTAACCTACCATTTGTTACAACATAATTTCAAACATATCAATAGAACCCCAGAAGAAACAAAAAAAAAAAAGGACCAAAGGCATAAACGAAGAGTAAAGGGGGGACGCACCAGGTTGAGCTCGCAGGCGACACCGTATTCCTTGAGAGCGGATTCGATTCTAGGCCAAGACTCCTGAAGATACTTCTCTCTGTATTGAGGAAAGAGTGTGGAGAATTCGCTGCGATCCAACATACCGGTGGGATTTGATGCCGGATCGAACCTTTCGACTGTCCAACGGTCAATGTTTGGGTCATCGTCCCATGGCTTCGGCTTGTCGTGTTTACCTTTCTTCTTCACCCTTTTCTCGAGATGCTGCTCCTCGTGCGCAACCTCCTCAACCTCGGCCATTGACGACATCAGTTAATTCCTCCTACTAATGACGGCGGCGAAGCTTTTATGTATATGATTAGGGTTTATCTTCTCGAAAGTTCTTCGAAGGAAAATTACAGTAGTGGCTGCAATCGGAGTATCGTCTTGATTTAAATTAATATAAATACCCTAACCGAATAATCTGAAACTACATAAACCGATCTAAACCGAACCAATGACATCTTCTTCTTTTTTTTTTTTTTGAGGTCGTTGGCGGATATCCCAAAGTTGCCAACCGAACTAGAGTCTCTTCTACACTCGAAAAATCAGCCTAAACACATCATTTCTCTGTTTTTGCCTCTCGCACAGACACATACATACGCAGAAAACAAATCATGATTCATCATTGCTCGGTCACGAAACCCACTTTCTCAGTTACGATCTCGAATCAGAAGCATCATCATCATTCTAGTAGTAAATTCTTGAATTTGGGTTTCAGAATCCGATGCGAATCCGGGGATGTCTCGTCACCGATGCGGACCAATGCGGTGTCCTTGTCGTCGGAGATGGAGGATTCATCTTCCTTGAAGAAGACTTTGATGGAGTCTGAAGGTAAAAAGAGCGAGCCTTACCCAGGAGGAATGCCGAAGATGGGTCCATTCACAGGGAGAGATCCGAATGTGAAGAAACCTTCTTGGTTGAGACAAAAGGCACCACAAGGCGAGAGGTTTCAGGAGGTGAAGGAGTCTCTATCTCGTCTCAATCTCAACACTGTTTGTGAAGAAGCTCAGTGCCCTAATATCGGCGAGGTTAGCATTTTCTCATCTCGAACCATTGTTGACATGTATCGATTTTGTGAACTGTAGGTATGGGAAATTGTAACTTTGGTTTATAGAGCTCACAGATGAGTAACCTACATGCTAATTCAATCAACGTTACTCTAGATTTTGTGGTTTTGGTTTTGATTTTGTTCCTTAAAGACTCTTACTTTTAGCTTATGATGATGTGCAGTGTTGGAATGGAGGTGGTGATGGTGTAGCAACTGCAACCATCATGGTTCTTGGTGATACTTGTACTCGTGGCTGTAGATTTTGTGCTGTTAAAACCAGTAGAAATCCTCCTCCTCCTGACCCAATGGAACCAGAGAACACTGCCAAGGCTATAGCCAGTTGGGGGTATGTTACTTTTATTTGATGCCTAGTTTTAGTTATTTGCTTATATTTTTGTTTAGCTTTCATAATGGTGTTCAGAATTGTTAGTTAGATAGAATAAATGAAGATATGGGATGAAAATTAGAAAATGGTATCAATGCAGTCTCAGAAGTCAGCTATATGCATCCTTCTTAATATATGATTAATGTAATATGATATGCTCTCTTGGTTTTTCCTTTGTTGCAGTGTAGACTACATAGTTATCACCAGTGTAGACCGTGACGATATACCTGATGGTGGAAGTGGTCATTTTGCTCAGACTGTCAAAGCTATGAAGGTTATTAGTCTAATTTGTTTTGCAATATGTTATTGAATTTATAAGTAGTGAAAGAATCAAATATCCTCATATTTTTCAGTCCAAGGTTACATGATAAGGACTTTGTCCCTTGATCTCTTCAGATTACTTTTTTGTGTGTAACTCGAGTTTGGCTTCAGAATGTTTGTGAAAATGAAATTGTGTATCTCATCTTTCTAGAGACATAAGCCGGATATAATGATAGAATGCTTAACTTCTGATTTCCGTGGGGACTTGGAGGCTGTCGACACTCTTGTGCACTCGGGATTGGATGTTTTTGCTCACAATATCGAGACTGTGAAAAGGCTTCAGCGACTCGTAAGAGATCCTAGGGCTGGGTGAGTGTTCTTTTCTTGTTCTTCATTTTTTCTGTTTGTTCTGAAATTGGTTATGGCGTAGATGGGCTGAGCAGTAAATTGATCAATTCTCTGTTATGGGTAGTCAACTTTTCTCTTATTACACACAGTCAATTATCTCCTCAATTGGTTAAAGTGGGACATAGATAGTAATCTGCATCTGTAGTTGTAGTAAATCTCTTTTTTATATATATGTGAATCGCATGTGGCGAATGCAGATATGAGCAGAGCATGTCGGTTTTGAAACATGCAAAGATCAGCAAACCTGGAATGATCACAAAGACATCCATAATGCTTGGTCTTGGAGAAACAGACGAAGAGTTGAAGGAAGCAATGGCTGATTTAAGAGCAATTGATGTTGACATTCTAACACTTGGCCAGTATTTGCAGGTAAAATCATTACTTTATCATCCGCATTTTTTCTTATTTCCAACACAGAAATATCTCAAATTCCAAAGAGCATCGATGATTAAAAAAAAAAACCTTTCTTTTGGTATACAATGCAGCCAACTCCATTGCATCTGACTGTGAAAGAGTATGTCACACCTGAGAAGTTTGATTTCTGGAAAACATACGGAGAATCAATAGGATTCCGTTATGTTGCAAGTGGTCCACTGGTAAAGCCACGAAATAGCTCTTACTCTTGATCTCTTAGTATCAAAATATCTCAGAACATTGAAGAAGCAGAAATGTGCTCATTTTGATTTGGTTATATTTACACCTTTGCAGGTAAGATCTTCATACAGAGCAGGAGAGCTTTTTGTGAAGACAATGGTGAAAGAAAGCTACTCTAAATCCTTGTCTTAATAGCAACAATGGATATCATAATGCCACAAACGAAACGTGGGACTCAACAACACAAAGCCTCTACTCCCATCTCTTTGTTTTTTTCTTTTCGATTGACTTGATTCATTTTGGTAATTTTATCCGAAAACCATTGTGGATATATAAGTAATTTAATATATATAGTTTTTTTGTGTGTTTTATAAAATGCTGCCAATAATATCTGAAATTTTGTCTCAAGATATTTACAGTGTTGGATTCTTTTATCTGAAGCCACAAGTTCCTCATCCCTTAGCCTTACATAGTCTTAAGTCTGACACGCGTCACCTTTCTTTTATCCAAATAGAATCCGAAATCAAAATTAGTAATTTCCTTAATTATCTTATATAAATAGATGAGGCGCTCAAATAATTAATCTTTTTTTGTTTGTTTACTCTCTCACTTTCTTGAGTTTTTTGTTTCCCGGCTCGGACGCAGATGACTACCGGTTACGCTCTGTCACCGGCGATTATCGCCGCCGTTCGTCCTCTGGCATCTCAAGACAGTCTCTCTGCTGCTTCTGGTTACGGACGCAAAGCGATCAATTCTTCATCTTCGTCGATCTTGGTACCAATCTCATTATCTACTTCCTACGGTCGAAGCAAATGCGCCTTCTCAATCTCGCGAAAGAATCCAAAATCGACGATTCGTTGCGATATTGCCGTGAAATCGGCGGCTTCTGTAGACGCGGACGCTGATCTCTCGTCGTCTACGTCACTGGAGACGGAGGAAGATGAGAAAGCCAAGGCGAAGATTGGGGCTAGGGTTAGGGTTACGGCGCCGTTGAAAGTTTACCATGTGGTTCGTGTGCCGGAGGTTGAATTGATGGGAATGGAAGGTTTTATAAAAGATTACGTCGTGCTTTGGAAAGGAAAGCGAATCTCAGCTAATCTGCCGTTCAAGGTACAGTTTGTGAAAGAGATCGAAGGTCGTGGCCCAGTCAAGTTCTTCACGCATCTTAAGGAAGACGAGTTCGAGTTAATTGATCCGTGATTGAATCGAGAAAAGGCAAAAGTTTTCTTCTTCTCTTTCTCATCTTATTAGACTTGAGAAACATCTTTTGTGAATTGGGTTTGTTTGTAATGTACCTTTTGTATAACAATTAGCTTATTATATACATACCATTTCACCCATTCTTCTTCAATCCTCTATTGCTTTGGTTTCTTCTTCTTATGCTGGAGATAAATATTAAGAAAAAAAAAAAAACTGGTTCTTGATCCCTTGACAAGCTTGGAAAATGATTTTGCATTTGATGGGGTTCACTTTAGATCAACATCATCGAAGTTATCTTATCCTCAAAAAATCTATCATTCGTTGACATCAGATGTTTTCCAGGTGCTTGTTGGGATGAAGTAAATTGCAGTCTACTGCATTTTGTGATCTTTGTAGAAGTCTTTAAGTTGGGTGCAATGCTTACTCTTCTCAAATTGGCATGAGAGTGTAAGAAATTGGTTCATGTGACTGTTTTAAGGTGTATTTGGATGTTTCTTCTGCTGCAAATTTTTGTTGTAGACTGTTGTAATCCTGATCCTTACCTAAGGGGTTTGTACGTATCATGTATGGTCATTTGTCTTGAGCTCTTGGATTCTGATTTCTTAGTTGCAGTGTTTATTTTGAATAATGTGATGTCTCTTTAGTCGAAAATTGATGCATGAATTGAAACTAGTAATTTGGTCTTTTATTAGGCTAGAAGTAGAGCTCCAGCAGTTTATGATTCGTACATGAATATTGGCATTGACGTCTATATGTATTTGGAGAAATGGAGCAAAAACAGACGTTGTCCTGAAGAAAGATGTGTAACTTGATGTTGGAAACTATGCAAAGGGCAATCATGCTTTTTCCCTTTTGACAATCTAATTTTCTCCAAAATAGATTGCAAAGATGAGGGGCTTGCTCACTCGGAGTTTGTGTTCTTTTCTAGTGCAGCATGTTAAAAGAGAGATGTTTTAAATTACAGAGAGAAAAAAAGTTGGCCAAAACAAACTCAAGTCAGACCAGGATAGGAGAATAGTTAAGAGATTGAAAAGCAATTATCTGCATTCAAAATCCTTCTCTCTTTCTTTAACCACGTTCTCACAGAAAAAGACTTTTCACTAAAGCTACGTAATTTGGAAATTCAATGGATGCTTCAGCCAGACTCGGATTGATTTGGCCTGACATATGTTTTCTACAAAACAGAGACGAGACATTGATACAACCAGAATCCGAGATAAATTTCGAAAATGAACGTCAATTTACGAAACATTAAAATCAGAATTGCCGTTTTTCTTTTTTTTTTTTGTTGTGACCTACTACTACTACTACTACTACTACTACTACTAACTCAGACGTGAAGGAAACGTCGATAGATAGAAGTAGAGAACGAAGAATGTTGTCGGGATCTAAAGCTTTCTTTCTACGTAGTAATAAACTAAGAAGTAAGAACGCCCTAGCCCCTAGCTAGGTTAGCAATGTTATCAAGGAAACTGATCATGTTCCCGTTTTCTAAATGGGCCTTTGTTACTACGAAACCCACCAGATGACCAGAACCCTCTGCATTAGGAACCCTTAAGGAACCGAATGAGTTTCGGTGATCATGATTCTAGAAAACACGCCTGAATTATGATTGGTGTAATGCTTACTCTTCCCAAATGGCATGAGGAATTGGTTCCTTTGAGTGTTCTTTTTGGATGGTTATGTGATAAAGCTAAGCTATGCGTCTATGAGGGATGTTGTTCTTCCAACTTGGTTTCGGTTATGCTAAGCTAATAAAGTAAGAAGTCATATTTTTTTTTGCCGGTCACTGTGGTTTTCAATTTTCAGACTCTTCTGTTGGGTTTGAGTTTGACTGTTTGACTTCGACTGGATGAGTTAAGTCTTAGAACCGATTTTACGATGTTGTAATCCGACAATTTTATGAGTTTAGGAGTAATGTGAAAGAGCAGACAAGTGTTTTATAAAAAACAGGAAACACAAACTTGAGCTTGTGTGAGTGGGTGACTGAAATCGCAAAAAACACGCGAATAGATCGAACAAGGAACGAGAAAATGTACGAAAATAATATCTTATCGCTCTCTTCTTGCACCATGAATCTCAATTTCGCTTTCTCCCCTTTCTTTATCTCTCAGACACAACCATTCTCATCCCACAAACGCTATCTTCCCACTCTCGTCGCTGTTTCTGCTAATTCCGACAACCACCTCGTCGGTGACAGTGACGACGGAGTTTCGGCGGCGAAGAAAGGGTCAGGTACGACGGCGAGAGGAAGGAGACTACTCAAGGTTAGAGAAGAGAAGAGGAAACGCGACTACGATCGTCTTCACGATTACCCATCTTGGGCCAAGTACTTCTTTCTTTTTGCACCCCAAGTGTTTGTGTTTTTGCCTAAACCAGGATAAATCGTTAACCTTTTGCTGAGTTGGTGGAATTTATTAACGCAGGGTACTGGAAAGTGCGTGTAAAGATGATGAAGAGCTTCGAGCTGTTCTTGGTGATAGCATTGGAAATCCTGACCTCATGAGAAAGAAGGTTAATTTCTTGGTCTCTCCTCTCTATATTTATGTCCGACTTCGTTACAATGAATTTGCTTCTCTGTTTATTTATGTTGTTTCTATCGATTGTCAAGTTCAACTCACTTCGACATGTTTCTGTTTACTAATCTATTCAGGTTGAAGAAAGGGTTAGGAAGAAGGGTAAAGATTTCCAGAAGCAGAAGACTGGTTCTGTGCTTTCTTTCAAAGTTAACTTCAGAGAGTGAGGCATTTTTTTTTAACATCTTGGTTATTGCTTCCCTTTGGTTTCTTTCTGCTGACACTAGAGTATAAGACCACTTCAGAATCCCATTCCGTAAATTACTCATTTGACTAGTATTCGTCTTTTGAGAAGTGCAGTTTCAATCCTGTTGATTCCTTTATATGGTTTGAGCTCTATGGAACGCCTTCAGATCGAGATGTTGATCTTATTGGAAGTGTAAGAAATTGATCTTCTTCTTGCTATTGATTCAATGCTTGTTCCATTTCTTTCTTTTGACCACAACAAAACTCGAGTTTCTTAACAGGTTATACAGGCATGGTATGTTATGGGGAGATTGGGAGCTTTCAATACATCTAACTTACAGGTTTGTTCATTATCCGCTCTGTATTTTCTGCTACTGGTCCTCAACTATTATCAATCACACCACCATCAATTTCAGTTGCCAATCATGTTTTTCTCCCCCTTTTCATGGGCATCTTCACGCTGGTCTGAATGATATAATCTAAACTCTGATTGCAGCTAGCAAACTCATCTCTAGAATATGATCCTCTCTACGACGCAGAGAAGGGGTTCAAAGTGATGCCTTCATCGTTTCATGACATCAGCGATGTCGAATTTCAAGACAATTGGGGTCGTGTGTGGTAAACAACTGATCCTTCATAATGCAAACCATTCCCTTAAAAATCGTGTAATTTGTCTGAACTTTACTTGCACTGTTTGTTGTAGGGTTGATCTTGGTACTTCCGACATCTTTGCACTTGATGTGCTTCTCAACTGTTTGACAGTTATGAGTTCAGAGTAAGTATCACAAGAGAACTTTGTTGTTTCCTTTTTGAGGATATCTTCTTTAAATGATTGCAGAAAACTTTAATTTTGTTATAATTTCAGGTACTTGGGCATTCAACAAGTAGTATTTGGTGGTAAACGAATGGGAGATTGGGAAGAGGGAATGACAAATCCCGATTTTGGTTACAAGTACTTCAAGATCTGAATCTAGTAGAAAACAGTTTTGTTAAACAATAAAGGCTTCTCTTTTTTGTTGCTCTTAAGAACATATAGCTAAAAAGTGTGGAAGATATGATAACCTAGATCAATACAACAGCCGAAATGGCTCTTTACACACAAAGTTAGCTTGAAACTGAGAGATTACCGTGGAGGTCTTGCTTCCGCAAAGCAAAAGTAACCAACTCATAGCAGTGGCCAGACGCAATACGCGAGGGTTAGTTAGTCTTCCATAGACTCTTTTGGTTAGCTTTGTAGAATTAGCTTTAGTTTTGTTAAACTCCACACTGGAACCAAATCCACATCCAAAAAGTTAGGAGTCATCACGATGAAACTTCTTGAAATGTTAAGTTGAGTTCATGCAGAGTCTTCGCCACCAAATTTCCTCTTCTACATAACCATAGGAGATATATAAGACGTAAGATAATATACTTGAAAGAGAGAGAAGAGATCTACTCACCTTGCTAAAGAGGGAAGGCAAGCCTTGATTTTCTCGAGTTCAACAAAGCAACAACTGTACCGCTCCATCCTGAATATCAAAAAGCGTGTTTGACTCAAAAAAAAGAGAGTAAATTGCAATTGAAAGTTACAATGAAGGTTAAGATTGAAGCTCCAACCAACCTTTGCTCGGCCTCAATATCTACACCAACAGATGATGGAGCCGACAGCGACGAGTAAATTTGTGACCCATACATTCTTACCAGCTTAAGCAGCAAGTCCAGGCAGACACTCAAATGACTAAAGACGGGTAATGGTGATTAGAAGACAAAAAAAAAACTACGGATTCATAGTTTGATAGATGACCATGTCATTATGTTCTTTACAATGAATTGCTCACCTATCCATATTGCTCCCTAGAAGAGCTGTCAAAAGGGGAAGAAGAGATGTACAAGTATCCAGTGTCAAGATCTCAGGTCTCTCGTTTACTATAAGTAGTACATCCGCAATGACCTGTACCAAATGCAATAACGAGAGTTTTAAAATCTATACGTAGTGTTTTTATATACATTAATTTGAAAGGAAACAAACAGAAGTTGCTTACAGCATTATCAGCCATCTTCTCTATTGAACTTATCGAGTTTTTAATATCATTTCGTTCCCAATATCTACGCACTACCTGCAAATCGGATGAAGCTATTTAGAAGATGAACAATTTTTATGGAAATCTATGAAGTATTTTACAGCTATCATTCTAATTAGTAAATAGACCAAAAGAATTATCATAGTCTGTACTTTCTTGGTGTTACCTGTAACTTAGCCAAGCGAGACTGCATAGAGCTGACAAATTGATCGTGTTGCCCCATTATGTCTGCAACTATATCTTCTTCGCTATCAGAAGTGATTCCTTGATCAACTGGCACATGATTTCCTCTCTGCTTGGGCTGTACGAAGGAAATTAATGTCATCATTATATCAGTAGGAACACAGCGTAAGCATGACTATATGAGATGTTGAAGACTGATAACTGGGAAATTTAATGTCTACTAAAACGCTAAAGATGCAGGATCAGTTAAAATTGATTTTTTTTTATCTAAAAAGGATCTGACATCTGACTAAATATACACGGCACTATTTGTTTTGCCCGTCCTCATTCTTCGTTTCTACAGTCCCTGTTTCATAGCCTCGAGATCCCAAATAGAAAACAAAACTTTTAAGGCCATTACCATATTGGTAGGGCGAATGTTTGGTGCAGTCATATTTCCACCAGAAGAACCCTCAAAGTTTGAAAATCTTCCTCTTCTTTCCCTATTTAGAACCAGGGAATGCAGTCTTCCTAGTATGTCAAGGCAGATAATGAGATTTTTTTTCATATGCACACTGAAAGGGAAAAACAAAAACATATGTTCGGAATGCGTTACCTCCTTTTCGACTTTCAGTAGGACTTGGATCTCTATTCGCATTATAGCTGCTCAAGTCAGCTGAAATAAAGAGTTAGTTAGCTTAGAACTAAGAACAGGATCCAGAAAACTCAAGATACTTATCTATAACATAGAAGGACCAACTAAACAAGAAGTTGTGATACCAAAACAATTTGTACTAAAAATAACATCTATACCTAAAGACTGATTCCTAGGATCTCATAAATATAAACCAAAGTCCTTCAGAATTTCGTAAAAGTTTTCTCCGTGATTATGATGCCAAGATAGGTGAGCAATATCAAATGCCATTCATATTTGCTCTAAAACATAAGAAGACTGGAAAGGCAACATACAGCTTTCGTCGTAATTGCTCGGAGGTGACCTCACCAGTGATCTTGAACTAAACCTTCCAAATCCCCTGTATCTGTTATCTTTACTTGTTCTCTCAGCTGTATCCCATGTGCCACCTTCGTAACTAGGATATGTATTTCCATCTTGTAAAGTGTTTGGTTCTATAGGCTGAGATTGTGACCTTTCAAGAAGCGAACTGGTTGGTAGATCTGGCTCATTTCTGCTGCTCAACAGCCTTCGAGAATCAGCCGCCTTTGACTGCAGCGAATATGGCATAGTTCTTCCAATAATGTCAAGTTCTGCTCTAGATTCAGATGCCTGCTCAATTATTGGGTCTGCTCTGGGGACAATTACTTGAAAATAATCTTCTTTATTGACTACTGGAGGATTCGCCTTTGGATTAGCTTTTCCAAAATTCCTCTTTGAGGCTGCAGCAGTAGGGACAACTGTAGAAACACCAGAAGCGATTTTTGGAGCACTGGTCAAAGTAACCCTGCGAGGAGAGTCTGATATACTTCCTGTGGCTTCAACAATAGACAAACCAAAAAATGCAATATCAATAAATAAGTAGTAACATTATAGCAAAGAGCGAAAAGAGAAAGAAAAGAGAGAATAAAGTAAAACATACATGACAAGGTTCTTGACTCTTTTACTGCGTCTGAACTATGAGTAACTGACAACTTTCCGAGAGGCTTTGGTTCCTTTACCAAAGGATCTGAACTTTGAGATACTGATGACCTACCGGTAGCCTTTGTTTCTTTTGGCAAAGGATCCGAGTTTTGAGAAACAGATAATTTTCCAAGAGACTTTGTTTCCTTCAATATAGAATCCACTTTCTGGGAACCAGGCAACTTTCCGAGAATAACCTTTGAGCTGTTATCGTGTAGACCTGCTTGGTCTCTGCCTGATCCCGATGTTTTCTCTGAATGAGAATTCGAATGATTGGCGCCTCCACTCATAGGCTCAGTGCGCTGAGAATGTCATTAGAAAATTGGATGGACAGCTTAGCGATAACAACTACTGGGTTTAGAAAAAAAAAAAAAAAAAAAGGAAAAAAAGAAAGAAGAAAGAGATAACAACTACTGAACAGGCGAAACTATAACAAAGCATGCATGTAGGGAGAGAGAGATACCGAGAGGTCTACAACCCACACGCCTACACAATTTTGATTGTATGAGCAACCGAGAAGCTTTCCCTCGTGAGCATTCATATCTGACAAGTTTGACCATCCAACATCCACTCCATCGTGACATCTTATTGGCTCCCACGAGAAAATCTACAATTTGCATGGAAGTTAGTGAAGAAAGGACAGCAAACATGTATATTAAGATTAAAATCAGTGAAATGTAAGTGTTATATCCTTGAAAGAGCGATTTGTTAAGCTCATATATTTCTAACTGAGACATCCAGAAGAACTTACTTTGAGACTTTCTTGCAATCCACAAAGCACACTCTTTCCGTCTGGATTAAAGGTCAGGCAACGAACCCCAGTAGTCTAAAAAATCAGAAAATTAAAAAGATCGAATACTCGAAGTAGACTCAGCTTATACCTATGAGTAGTACAAACAACACATGATACCTCAGTTCCACCAGAACCAATAAGCTCGAATGTTTCCAGGTCCCAGAATTTCACAGTCTTATCAGCTGAACCTATTACCATAGGCAAAAATAAACACATAATTTAAATGAATACTGTAATAAGGAAACGATGCCATAAAAAGAAATAGATGAGAAAGCTGTAAATATGGGAAACTTGGGAGTTACTACGAGAGGATATGCAAGTGGTCTACTGATGTTGGAGTTAGTTAATAGTTACGCCCTGTAATCTTGTTCATAGCACATTTAGCTTTCATAATAAATCAGGTTCATATCATTGTGTGATAGATCTATGTCACCCGAAAATCTAAAAGCTTCAACGTAATGAAGTTTCCCTAGTAAGTGCGATACAGACCTGTTGCTAGCAGAAATTCATGGGGGTGAAAATCTAGACTCTGAATTTTCCCTTCATGACTCTTAAACTCATGCAAAAGTTTTCCAGCAGTCAAATCCCACACCTGGTGAAAGCAACCAACATATCAGATCCAACGTCAAGAGAGAAAGCAAAAATTGCAGGTAACTTGCTTTTCAGGATAACAAGTAGAGTAAGCACTAAGCAGTACAAACTCGGAGATGAGACAAAACGATAATCTAAAAAGAGATAGGAAAGCCAGATAATCTAAGTATCCAAGTTGGTCAGGTAGTATGATAGCACACATCTCTCAGCAACAGTTTATGCCTACTTAACAAAATGTGGTATTGTTTTTCAAAGTATCCTCAGAAAATAAAAATTCTGAATTCTATCAAATTGACTCCCTAGTTGTCCTCCCCAATACACACTAAGAAAGGAAAAAGAGAGCTTCAAACCTTCACAACATTATCTTCTCCTCCAGAAACAATCCAACGACCATCTGGAGTGAATCTGAGTACATTGACCCCTCGAGTGTGACCCTTGTAAGTATGGATACAGCCCTTCTTTCTTATATCCCATATCTTAAGATTTGTGTCTAGAGATCCAGAAGCGAAAAACTCGCCAAAAGGGTGAAAATTCACGGCTATGCAATTCGACCTGTGACCGGTGAGAGTTCTGACAACTACTCATAGATGCAACAAAAAATAACATATTCAGTCAATAAAAGAGCTGGGTGTGGGCCACACCGTGTGGCTGACTAAACAGAATGAGAAGAGTAAATTTAGATGATCAGAGAACTACTAAACTTACCCTTTGCCTCCTCCAGATCCCAAAGTTTAATTGTACCACTAGCAGCTCCAGCTGCTACTAAGCCTTCCGAAGCATCAAACGTTACTGAATCAATCCCACTCGAGTGGCCATACAAGCTCTGACCCCAAAACACCCACAAGTAGACAGTCAGACAGAAAATACTACATTCCATCTAATGTGTGTCGCAGTTCCCCTAAACCAAAATCATAATCTACGGAGGCATTCGGCAATAGAAAGCAATGGAGGGAGAAGTGAGAACTGACCAGAATGGCGTTGGGCTTACCAATAGCCCATAGATTGACCTTGTGATCTTCCCCGCCTGTTACGAGAACCCTGGAGGACTTCCTCCCAATCTTAAGACAATTAACAGCAGCAGAATGTGCCACAAATTCCTCTGTGGTATTCCAAAAATGTATCACACAACACAAGTCAAGGCTAAACAATACTTTCACATAGGAGACTCTAGTCAAAAGTAAGAAAATGACTAAAAGTCTAAAAAAATTAAGAGATATCGAAAACTCATAAAACGCAAAGCTAAGAAGAGCATACAGATCTCGTGAACCAGAGCGGCACTGGAGTTAATCAATGATTCCAACAGACAAACCTAAAAGATGAAATCAAAGAAAATTTGGTATAAACAACAACAAAAAGGATACGGAGCTTGTAGGCGCGCTTGGTGTTCATGGCGGAAACGAAACCCTTACATCGGCGAACATTCAAAATTCAACTCTCCAGCAAACAAAAAAAATACAAACTCGAATAACCCAGAAAGCTCAAAGCAGCTTAAGATCTCTGCTTCCGCAGTCGCAATCTGAAATCTCGAATAGATCAGCAACAACAAAAATTCCATAGAAAGAGAGAGTGATGAAGAAACTATATTAGCATACCAGCAAAATTTAAGCTTCATTCAGCTCCAACAAAACCCAGAAAGCCAAATCTCAGCTCCGAACCCAAATTGATTGGAAGATAATGCAGATTGAAGAACAATATCCTGCAGTAAAGTAAACGTCGTTGTTCCCTTTACGAAGAAGCTTATAGAAAGAAAAAAATGGAGTTGTTGGATGAGTTAACTCTTTATTCATATATTTCAAAGTGTGTTTTTCTCCTCTAATGGCGACGAGAGGAGAGAAGAGAAAGAGAGAGAGAGTGAGAGAAATGTGAATAACACACAGACAACACAAAGAAGCAGAGAGACTAGAGAGAGAGAGAGAGAGAGAGAGAGAGAGAGAGAGAGAGAGAGAGAGAGGAAGCTGCTTTATTTTAGTAATTTACTTACCTCTTCTCCTCTATTCAAATTCCAAATTCATTTGTTTCAAATTTATAAAATTTTCTTGACAACATTTTTCACAATTTTTCAAAATCGATTTTACTGCCAAAATATCACATATGTAAGGGAATTTGTTTTACTTGTTTGGTAAATAATGAATAATCTAATCTACCGGTTCAAAGTTCAAACTCTGTTGGTAAATAAATAATGAATAAACTGTCACAGTATCATATAAGAGAGTTTATAAATATGTTAGTATTAGTGTTTTGTCATTTTTGTTTGATTCGGTTGATATTTTTCAGAAACTTTACAGCAGAGTACTATATAGTATAGCATTGTATAGTAAACTATTAGTTCCCGTCGGTGCTTTAGTGCAGTTAACAACGATAACCGGTTTTGTTTTGGTGTTCCTAATCGGTTTTAGACCTTTATTAGTGACGTAGTTTAGGGATCTTGTAGTTAAGGCATTGTTTCAGTTTTAATGATAAGCTTATTACAAAATGGGGTTAGGCTTAATTTAGATATCTTTTTCCATTGTGTCACAATATATTTTTAGCTCATGCATATGTGCGCCTGTGATATGTAGGTGTGTGATTTTGGTTCTTAACTCTCATTAGTAAGTAAAGAATCAGGTTTTGTGTATATATATATATATATATATATATTCAGAATTACCGAGTTAGCACGTTTGGGGGATTGATTCATTCGAAATGTATAAAATATTTGTTGTTCATGACTTAGTGAGCATTCGAAACATAATTAATAAACATTTAACATGTTAAGAAGGGGCATTATAACAGCTTAAACGTTAATGCAACCAAAATAATCGAATGTCCAGCTTTAATGGCAGGCTTACTCATGTCATGCATCTTGCGCAAGGTGACTATATATATAATGGCAATGATGATTATTTAAAATTTGGGTTTACAAAGAAGAGATAAGGTAAACACATAAAGCAAAAGGGTCCGATACAAAGTGTTAAATAATGGACCATGAAGGAGGCATGCAGGGTTACATTCATTTAGATAAAATGATATATATAAGTTAAAAAGTTGAAGAGAAATTAAACTTGGAAAAACATATAGCAAAGGGGTTGAAATTACGTAAATTAAACTAGCCGATGTAGATGTGAATCTTGAGAGCGAGAAGAAAGACGCAGACAAGGGAGAAGTAGAGAAGAGAATGGACGATAACGGAGACAGCGCTTGTCTGAAAATTACCGAACTCAACGTATCTTTGTCGTCCAGGCAGCTGAAACAGGAGCCCTGGCGTGAGCATCACGAAGAGTATCACCGTCACTAGCACCGGTCCCCAGTCCGACATCGTCTCTCTCTTTTTTCTTGATGGGTGATGATGCTTGCTTAAAAGAGTACGATATTGTGGGAGAAAGGAGAAGAGTGCGTTTTATAGTGTCATAATTAAGATTGGAGGAATGTGGAGAAGCTAAGGACGACGTGGGTCGGAGAGTTGATTCATGAAGTCACTGTTTGATTCTCCATTCTTTTGGAAGAGGGGGGTTTACTTGTGAATCAGGTTTTGATATTTTTTTGGGGAATTGTAATGTTCTTTCTCCAAACTTAGCAACTAAGTTGAAAAGTGGAAAAATACACATGTCCTCCATAAACTATATAGACTTACGTAACTTAACATTTTTTTTTTTTGATAAAATGCAAATATCATATAAATATGAAAACAGGGCTTTCACCCATTACAAAGTTTCCTTGGCAAAAAATAAAACAAAGAAACGATACAATATGATTCATAGAATCCAAAAGACTAGCCGTAACTTAACATTAATAACAAAAAAAATAAGATAATATAGAATGAAATCAAGGAACAAGACATACTTATTATTTTATTTTTTTCTTGATACAGACATAAATAAGTTTTTGAAAACCCTTGAGTGAAAATGAAATTAGAACGAGAAGAAAATGACATATATATGCCGACCAAAAAAAAGCCCGATATATTAATGTTATGGCTAAAGACGTATAGAAATCAAATACCTTCTGTAATGTCTTATACAAAGACATACTTGGACCCAAAAAAAAAACAAAAAACAAAAACAAGAAAGACATATATAATGTCTTAAACAGAAAAAGACATACTGTCATAAACTTATAATTCAAAGAACCATCCAGAAATCATAGTTTATCGTAATATCAGTAATTTATGACTTTTGATTGTATTTTATTTTTATATCACATTCTCAAAACTAGGATGTTGAAAAATTACATCGTCAAAACTAGTATATATTTTAATTGAATTATTTATCAAATATTTGACAACTATATAAAACTGGGCTAGTTAGGTTGGTTTAATCTTTGACTACCTTTAATATTTAACATTAGAAGTGTTATAAACAAAAACGAATGGAATTAAAGAAATGAATACATTGTAAAACCATACATTTAATCTTATTATTCAAGAGAGTAAACCCAAACAAATTAAGTGTAGACAATATTTCCAACAAGATCAAACCAAAATCCAAGATTCAGCAGCAATACAGTGATGGCAAAGTCAGTGATGATAACCCATATATAAATTTTCTCAAAAAAAAAAAAACAGACCCAATTAAGTGTTTGATTTCGATTTTGCTTCCCCTAAAAGTCATGTTTTATGTATACCTTGTCGCAGCTACTACGTTTTAGAATCGTGCGCTTTTTCTCATTGTTAAAAATTTTGATTACAGTATTTGAAAATTTCCAACGTTAACTTTGGTCAGACACTTTTCTAATTAAAATCAACAAATTTATGAACTAAACTGATCTCTTATTTAGATCATGTTTAAGGAACCCAATCACCAAGATTGTGTAAGATTTATATATGATTTTCTTCTCTGTATCTGACCTGGTTTTACCATTATACGTATCATTTATGTGGACGTTAAAATTTTTATAAATGTAAAGAAAAGGAAAACTTTAGAAAAAGGAAAACACGATTTTCAAAATCAACAAAAAAAGCAAAACAACAGATAAGAGTATAAGGGGCAAAATGGGAATAAAACAGATATTTTTTAGAACACTCTTATTAAGCTTCTCTACTACAAAGTACAAAACAAACTACTTAAGCTTCGCACTCTGTTTTCTTGTTTGACGAGATTTTGCAGAGATGGCGAGAACAGAGAAACTTCTTCAGATGGTGAAGATATCAACGATACTTATGATGATTATGGTTTTAGTTTTATCAATGGTGATGACGATGGCCGAGTCTTCGAGATCAGTTGACGATTCTGAGATCTTAAGAAGACACTTGCTCGCTAATGGCCTCGGCGTCACTCCTCCCATGGGGTTCGTATAACTCTCTTTCTCTCTTGCTCTGTGATTTCTTAGCTTGTTTCTTTCTTTTTCTTTTCAGTGGTTGGTTGATTTTGCCATAGATTCCCTTAATTGGGGTTTGCAGAATCGAAAGACAACACACATTCTACAACCACTAGTCTTTGAATTTGACTTACATATATATTCTGAAGTTTTTGTGTTCAGACAAAGTTAATAATCTTGATTGATTTTTTCTATGCTGTGTAAAGTGTTTTTTGTCTTTTGTGTTCTTGATGACGTCTGAATAAAGTTCAATGTGATGGTGTTGCAGGTGGAATAGCTGGAACCATTTCAGCTGCAACATAGATGAGAGGATGATCAAAGAAACTGGTAAATGTTTCAATCTCTTTTTCTCAAACCCTGGAATAATCTTGCATCTTTAGTCTCCTGGCATCTTAACAAATCAGTCAATCTAATGCTTGCAACAGCTGATGCTTTGGTTACCACTGGCCTCTCTAAGCTTGGTTACAACTATGTTAACATCGGTATGGCTCCAACAGCATAGTATGAATAATCATTATTGTATCCCTCTGAAGTTTATTAATTTTTCCATCAGTGTTATTGTTGTTCTCAGTACTGAATTCATAGTTTTGTTCCTCAGATGATTGCTGGGCTGAAATTGCTCGTGACAACAAGGTATTAAACACTTGTTTGTGTTTCCTGGTTTCATTTCTTGTTCTGCAGTTTTGCTTAATGTGGTCTTCCTCAAATCTGTTTTCCAGGGAAGTCTGGTGCCAAAGAAGTCAACTTTCCCTTCTGGTATTAAAGCGCTTGCGGATTATGTCCACAGCAAAGGCCTTAAGCTTGGGATTTACTCAGATGCCGGGTAAACTTTTTAACTGCCTTTGTTTCTAGAATCATAGTTTCAGTGATTTGAACAAGAATACACTTTTTAAAACTGTTTTGGTTTGTAGGTATTTTACCTGCAGCAAAACCATGCCAGGTTCTTTAGGCCATGAGGAGCATGATGCCAAGACCTTTGCAGAATGGGTACGGTAGATGTCATTCTTGTTTTCTGACATTCTTTTTCATCTCATACACTGGTCATTGACCTGACTTTCAGACAGTGATGAGTAGTAACAATGCTTGGTCTAAAATTTCAGGGAATTGATTACTTGAAGTATGACAACTGCAACAACGATGGCTCTAAACCAACTGTCAGGTATGACTGAAGATACCGGTTGAGTTTCAGGTTTAACTAGCTACAAAATTTTCAACATATGAGAAACACATTCACTGGATGATGATACAATTCAGGTATCCAGTGATGACCCGAGCTCTGATGAAATCTGGCCGCCCCATCTTCCACTCCTTGTGTGAATGGTATAAATCATGTTCCCTTCTTAAAAGAAGATTGTGTTTATTCGTATGTGCAAGAATATGACTTTCAAATTGAGTTGGTATCAGGGGAGATATGCATCCAGCTCTATGGGGATCTCCAGTAGGCAACAGTTGGAGAACCACTAATGACATCAAAGATAACTGGCTGAGGTAAGAGTAAAAGATAAAGATGGCAGGAATATTTCTTCAAAAACGCTGAAGATCTCTTATCTTAACAAATTGTTTGGCTTATTACAGTATGATCTCAATAGCAGACATGAATGAAGTCTACGCTGAGCATGCAAGGCCTGGTGGCTGGAACGGTACTGTTTAAAGTGTTTTTGTAGATTTTGTGAAGGTTTTGGAGAAAATTGTGACGAGTGGGTGACCTTGTTGTTGGTTGCAGACCCGGATATGCTTGAAGTGGGTAATGGAGGAATGACGAAAGAGGAGTACATAGTCCATTTCAGCATATGGGCAATTTCAAAGGTAAGTAATATTCCTGAATTAGAGAAACTCTCTTCAATCAAAATTTATCAAGTCTTAAACCATTGGTGCATTTACATTTCAGGCTCCTCTTCTACTTGGTTGTGACATAAGAAACATGACCAAAGAAACAATGGAGATTGTCGCAAACAAGGAAGTCATTGCTATAAATCAAGGTACTTAAATTACTTTTTAGCCATCTTATGACTCCTTCTAAAGAATATATAATAAAGCAAAGGAGACGTTTCTTGTAGATCCACACGGTGTTCAGGCCAAGAAGGTTAGAATGGAAGGCGATATCGAGGTCAGATTACATCTTAAATACATGAAATTTACTATTCCGTCTGTGGACGTAAGCTTTTATCAAAAATAATACTTTGTTTTGATAATGAATTGGGAAATGGAATCAGGTTTGGGCAGGACCATTGTCAGGTTACAGAGTAGCTTTGCTTCTGTTGAACCGTGGACCATCGCGAAATTCGATCACTGCTCTTTGGGATGATATTGAGATCCCTGCAAACAGCATAGTTCAAGCCAGAGATCTATGGGAGGTACACAATGCATACATACATATTCAACTGTACATACATGCATACAAACACTTAAAAAAATATATCTGATCTTTAGCCTTGTGATGAATGTGTATTGTTGTGATGTGAAAACAGCACAAGACATTGAAGCAAAAGTTTGTAGGGAACTTGACAGCAACAGTGGATTCTCATGCGTGTAAGCTGTATGTTCTCAAACCTGTTGCGTGAAATATATCTATAGAGAGACGGAGAGAGTTAGTGTGGCTACCCTGTATTCTCCAATTATTGTGTAAAAAACAATAAGGGTGCGTCTCAAATTGTGTTTCCACAGATGTGTCTCCAAAAAAGTGCTCTATTTTCACAAATTGCTAAAGATCATTTACTGATCTAATCCAACAGTGTTGTCGATGAGTTTGAAACGATGTGTGTCCTGCATATCATGATGAACTCTTTGCCTTACACCAAAATTAAAAAAAAAAAATAGCTCTTTGGCTTATTTGATTTTGTGGCGTACGACACACGCCACATCAGATCACATAACATAAATTGTGAGTTGGTCCACTTTGAGGAAGCAAATAATCTTTTATCATTCCAGTAACTTTCAGACTTTGCCGTAAAGTATACTCTCTGTTATATATATGCTGATTTTAATTTATATTTGTGATACCGATTTATAGGACAAAAAAAACGATAGACAAGCTAGAAACATGTTTTTTTTTTCTTTATTTTTTCTAATAGCGTATTAAAAACTCAAAATCATGCAATAGGGACACTGGGAAAGCATGCTCAGTTTTTAATAATAAGGATTCGAATGGCGACTGACTTGTAGTTTGTAGGACCACATGTGCACAGTTTGGGATCATCAGAGCAAAGATGCACACTTCAAATCCGTCTAGTGGTGTGGAGTAATCTGTACGTAATATTAAATTGAAATAAAAAAATTAATGATTCGATTGAGTTAACTAGAGTCCAATGCGATAATGACAATGAAATACCTTACGTACCATTTATTGAAACGCGTGAAGAAAATTCTGCAGTCACTGTATATTTTTTTGGATGTAAATGGCTGTTTACCAGATCAGCTTAATTTGGTTTATTCATAATTAAAATAGTTGGTCACTCCCAAAATTACTTGTTTAATTTATTGCTAAACTATTCCTCCTTGTAATTTTACCTGGAAAATAGCAAGCTCACTGTGATCTTATTCAGTTTCTGAGAAAGTAAAATTACAAAGAAGAAGAAGAAGAAGAAGAAGTTTGAATCGCTATGGGTATATGTTTGATCTGGTTAATGGTTAACCACAATCAAAGCTTTCTTTATTTTTATATCCAATCGCAGCCTTTTTACTAACTACTAGAATTAGTTAGAACTACTACTGATCTACTAGAATTAGTTATGAAGACGCCCTACGTACAGTTAACAACCTCTTCTTTTCCTCAATCTTTTTTACACTTTTTGCGTCATAGCCATATATAGCATACTCATTTGCCAATATCCGTGATTGAAGCTACACAAAATTATAAATATCCGAAACGAAAAAGACCCACTTGCTATGGAGACAACTGTGACTGTCACAGTCTGTATTGTGTATATATATAGAGATGATCCCCCCAGTTCCCACTTAACCCATCATTATTTATTACAGAACCTACTTTTGTTTTTTCTTCAATCCCTCTCTCTCTCTCTCTGAGTCAGTTTATTATAGCCATTGAAGGAAATAAGAATAAAGCTTGATCGAGCAATGGTTCTTATTGGTGTCTTCATAAGATTCATTACGTTCACTCTGACTCTGACTCTGATCGTTGATGGGTTTCAGAGTCGAATGTTGATGGACAATGGTCTTGCTCTCTCTCCTCAAATGGGGTTTGATCCTCTTCTTTTCTTTTCATTCATTTCTTTTACTTGACTTACAAGTTGTCTGATTAATTACTCTCTCGGATCAGATGGAACAGCTGGAATCATTTTCAGTGTAACATCAATGAAACCCTCATCAAACAAACCGGTGATTACTGATTCTACTGTGTATAGATAGCAAAATCTAATGCAAGTTTGATTGATAGTTAAAATAATACTAATAAATAACCTAAGTTTTTCTGCAGCTGATGCAATGGTTTCAAGTGATCTTGCTGCAAAAGGTTACAAGTATATCAACATAGGTATAAACAAAAACAAAAGAACCATTTTGGTATGGTGGTTACTCTGTTTTTCATCTCTTCCTTTTCTTAACTATGTTCTGTTTTTGTCTGTGTGTTTATAGATGATTGTTGGGGTGAACTCAATAGAGATTCTAAGGTTCAATAAACCCAATCAAAGATGTACTTCCATTTTTTTAGAGTGTTTGAAAATCAAAGAATGAAACTGAGATGTGTATTTGATAGGGGAATTTGGTTGCCAAAGCATCGACATTTCCTTCAGGAATCAAAGCTTTAGCAGATTATGTTCACAGTAAAGGGCTAAAGCTTGGGATCTACTCTGATGCCGGGTATAATTATAGATACACACAAGAGACTCATCTTAGAAATCCAAAAAAAACTTGTTAAGACATCGTTTCTCCCTCCATTGATCATATATTTTCTTGGTTTCTAGGACTCTTACTTGCAGCCAAACCATGCCGGGCTCACTTGGGCATGAAGAACAAGATGCCAAAACATTTGCCTCATGGGTATGTATGCCTGTATGCTTGTATTGTACGTGTGATATATCTGAAGTTTGAACTCATTTCATAAAACCTTAGAAGCTGTGTGTTTCCGTTGTGGTGTATTCGACAGGGGATTGATTACTTGAAGTATGATAACTGCGGAAACACAGGGACAAGCCCAAGAGAAAGATACCCAAAGATGAGCAAAGCTCTCCTTAATTCAGGAAGATCCATATTCTTCTCTTTGTGTGAATGGTAAGAAGATTCACTTGCTTTTTAATTCAGACAACTTTGTTCTGATGATATTAAACAAGAAACTGAGTTGTAAGTGCAGGGGAGTAGAGGATCCAGCAACTTGGGCAGGAGCTATTGGCAACAGTTGGAGAACAACTGGAGATATCGAAGATAAATGGAGCAGGTTTCTGTTCTTTAATGGCTTTTTTTTTTTCCAATCTTAGTAAAACAAGAACCTGAAGGATGTTTCTCTATTCGTTTTTGCTTATTAGCATGACAACGATAGCGGATCTGAACGATCAATGGGCATCTTACGCAAGACCAGGATCGTGGAACGGTAACTAGTTTGGTGTTAATAACAGATGTGAGTCAATCTTATCAAGAAGATATCGATGTCCTGGTAACTTAAACAGATCCAGACATGCTCGAAGTGGGAAATGGAGGCATGACTAAAGAAGAATACAGGTCGCATTTCAGCATCTGGGCATTGGCAAAAGTATGAAGTGTTGTTTTACCTGAAAGCCGTAAAAAGTGTATCAATGTTTCCACAGTTAAACCAATGTTTGATTGTGTTCTCTCTTGCAGGCTCCTCTGCTAATAGGGTGCGATCTTAGATCGATGGACAAAGGTACCTTTGAATTGCTGAGCAACAAAGAGGTGATTTCTGTTAATCAAGGTAAACACTATTGAAAAGTTCCTTACCACTTTAGAATCTGCTCATATGAAATCCTAAAGTGATAAGAGCTTGGTGAACTGTTTATGTTCGTTCAGACAAACTTGGGATCCAGGGAAAGAAAGTGAAGAAAGAGGGTGATCTTGAGGTACTAAATTTTCTTATATATCTGTATGGACATCCGAACACACAACACATGGAATATGTGGTGCAATACAGGTATGGGCAGGTCCACTAAGCAAAAAACGAGTTGCGGTCATCCTATGGAACAGAGGATCAGTACCAGCAAACATCACAGCTAGATGGGCGGACCTTGGCCTTGATTCATCAGTTACTGTTAATGCTCGTGACTTATGGGAGGTAAACTATATTAAACCAATCATGCATTTAGTATTCTATTTCATCTCTACTATTCACACCTGAAACACTCATGAACCATAGTTATGATCTATGATGTATGCAGCATTTGACACATCCAAGTATTAAAACACAACTCTCTGCCCTAGTGGAGCCTCATGCCTGCAAAATGTATACTCTTACAAGAAGCAAAGCGTAAGATGCTGCTGCTATACTACAGCTAGAGTGAAGGAAGTAAAAATGAATCCTAGCAAAATCCTATCCAAACCAGAAGATTGTGCCAACTCATCCTCTAGTCTGATTTGTATTAAGATATAATGCAAAATATGAAGATGCCAGCATCAGAAATACTCAAATCCAAATAACCTTACAATAAGAAAATAATGAGTTTTGACAACAATCCCACATGCCACTTTTGAAGCAAAACAACCAAATCCAGATGTTCGCAAAGTTTCATCAAAAGATTCCATAATAAAAAGATACCAAACTTTCCCTCAGAAAACATCACATCACTGACATCACCAGGATGTATGAGAGGTTCAATGCAGAGATAGTTAATACTTACTAGTTACCACCCCAGTTGGAAATGGCAGACCAGTAGCTTTCCCAGCCATAAACATTTTGAAATCGTTTTGGGTGAACATGACTTTTCCCAGCCAGGAGGCAGCAGACTCTTCATGCATCTTGATGTTCTCTTGATCTGTGGTGCCTGGCATGTTCCAAACGTCGTCGGGAAGCTTGGAACCCACTGCTCCAAACACAGGAAGCTCAACTTTTGCCTCTTGAGGAAATGTTTCTGAGAACAAACAAGCAAGAATATAGTTCAAGACATCAAAAAACTATAGATAGATACACTTGTTTTGCAACATGCAGAGTATAAAACAAAAGCTTATAAGGAAAATACCTGGGAAGACGGGTGTCATTGAATGATAGGTCAGGAAATATGCATCCACGTCTTCCACTGTTGGAATTTGAAGCGATGGAGACCTATAATATGTTTATCAATCAGCCTCATGTAGCAAGTAATACAACAGCTTGTTCAAGAGATATGTAACTTCAAAGACAAGTGCTAAAGCTGAGAATATTATAGAGGTGAAAGAGACATACCAGGAAACACAAAACCAACTGTTTTCAGACAGATCAGAGCTTTTTAGGCTATTCATTCCATGGTGCGTCTCAGCCAGTTCTGCAACCTATACCAAAAACAGAATCTCCCCAATTAATATATCATTACAGAGAGACAAAGTATAAGCTATCCAACACAGAAGAGCATCGCATACAGTATCAATAAGAGGAGGCCTTTCTTCAAAACTCAATGGCTGATCGAACTCCAAGTAAAGATGACAGTCCTCACCGAAGCTCCTAAATTTGAAAAACAATAAGAACAACAACAAAGTGTCAATCAAATCCTACAATCTCAGATTCTGAATGAAGAAGACAAATTCAAAGTCAAGAATAGAAGAATCTGTGACCTTGAAGAAGATCCATCGATGAGAGGCTTCTTGGTGAAGATTTGGATCGCGGAGAGGGTGGGAGCATAGTACTGGGTAGTATCCCTCCTCAGCGTAAGAGGAACGCCGACAGCGAAACAGCTCCAAAGTTCGTAGGCCTCCCAGATGTCACCGAGGACAATGTGAGGCTTTCTCTCTGGTTCTGCTTTGGCTCCGGAAGAAGACGAACCGACACGACTCTGCGCGGAAATTTTTGAAAAAATTAGGGTTTCACCAATTTATATGGATTCCCGAAATCACTACCCGGATTGTATAATTCGGATCCCGGTTGGAAAACTAAAATATTTATAGACATTCCCCTCCTACTATTTCATTTCACAAAATCAACCAAAATATTTCAGTTTCGTCCATTTACCCTAAACAAGCTAGGGATATATTATTTTGCTTTGGTTTGGGGCTATTAGAGTTCGGGGGTTTTATGTTTTTAATTAGTTATCTTATGAAGATTAGTGGTTTCAGTTTGTAATACACGGTCCATCTTCTTTGACTTAATCAAAAGAATACGTAGACACGCGTCAGACAGTGATTCAGTGTGGATAAGACAATGTATATAAACTTTATTTTATTATCCTTTAACGCTATTATCATTAATTAACAGCAAATATTAATTTAGTTACATGCTCATATTTAGTTACCTTTTAAAGTTTCTTTCCACGACTTTAATTACATTATTTTCTTCTACATGATTTAATAATCTACCGTATGAAACTTGAGTTTATCTAATGAAATGGTTAGTTTTACAAAAAATCTTCATACCTTCTACAAGAGCCTAAAACAAGAGAAAAGGGTTTTATTGAATGCGATTAGATGCTTAGTTGAGTTTCTGACATGAATATCGTTTACAGATTGATCTATTCATCTATGATTGTTTCATATGATTATAGGTACTTTGCAAGAAAATTAAGTATGGTGTATATATACTAAATGGCTAATCCAAATCTATATGTGAAATGATTCAGAAAACGAAAGAAATTGAGTACCTGGGTATGGAAATTGACGGGGACACTAGGAGAGATATGTTTAAGAAAACTTTCAAAATTAGATTTGCCTCTCTCACTCGGGTTCCCCATGATTTTGGTGGTTTGAGTAGTGGCTCTCTCTTTGGCTTTGATTTGTTATATAGACTGATTATTCTCGGTCAGAAAGATATATAACGTAAAAAACGTGAAGTTACATTGGAAAATGGGAAAAAAGTCAAAAAAATTAGAAAATTATTGTCTTTTACCAAAACATAATACAAATTAGTATCATTGAATATTTAATTAATTAATTAATTAAAATTGGATTTAGTAAGGTGATGATTAATATACACTTGCCAAAAGACAAGGAATACTTAAATACATCATTTTTATTCATAACTAGTCAAGAAACCGCTGCCGTTATAACAGCCGTTATATTTCTGTTAAATTCATCTGACGGTGTTAATAAAATCGTTAACTAATATTTAAAGTAAAATGTGTACCAAGTCTCAAATATTACATCAGACAATCAAATACCATAGGGGATTTAGAGACGAAATCGTGGAGACACACACAAAATGTATATCAAGATGGTACATAAAAACCTTAGACAATGTATTACATATAATTTTATAATTTCATGGATTTGTGAAGAAAATAATAATTAGTCAAATGGTTAACAGATTACTTTAGTTTGCAACTTCTTTTTCCTAAAATTCGACCCCAATAAGTTAGACTAATTCGTCCCTCGTAGTGATCATAGTTGGGTTTTGGATCGGGGTTTGTTGACCCAATTCCTCTTCTTTTTCTTTTTAAAGTTTTTGCATAGAAAGAAATGTCATCCTCACACACCTAAATGGTTTAGTGATTATAGTTTTATATATTTGTCTAGCACTCACATAATCTCTATCATCACATGATGTTATTTCCTCGTTTGCTTCTCAATAGTTTTTGTCTGAAGTTCCAAGTCTTCCTTACAAGAGGGACTACATTGCTAATCACACATTGCGTTGCGTGTATATTCCCCTGGAAAATTAGTTGTGCACAAATAAAGTAGCCTAGTGTCAGTGTGCGTATGCGCTATAGGAGTATAGGTCACACTTGTTCTATGGCAACTTCTCACTTTTCTTTTCTACAGTATATATGTTTCAATTCTTTGTTGTGTCCACTACTTTGAACTATATCTTTAGAATTGCCAGTTCAGTCACTCGTCAGAATTTTTAATGATTAGAGGATAAGCTATTTTTATTGCGCATAAAAATGTGACCGTCACAAAATATTGACTCTCTTCTTCTCTATTGTATTGACTTCTATTTTCTAGTATAATAAATTAGTCCGTTGCCATAGCTTAAAATACCCGACTCACCAGCTTTCGCCTTTGATAAAGCATTCACTTGTTCCCCATAGTAAAGCTCTTGACCAGTCTATATTCGTTTATTAGCAAAAGCCTTATAATTATCCTATCCGACTACTAGTTATACTTTATATCCACTTTAACCAATTAATCAAAATACACAAATATTCACAATTTGACATGTTGTGTCAATTAAACATCACTACCAAAGGTCCAAAGGTTCAGAGCTAGTACACTACTATACAGAAAAACGTAAAGCATGCATACAAACTCGTCTATGTACATGTGCATTTGCATATTGTTGTGTGTAGATCACATGGGTGACGAATTGATTCAGCTACCAGCAGGTATATCCTATGGTGGGGATCCATTTCAAATCATAGTTCCTTTTCTGTTTTTGTTTATAAGTTTTTCACTTTATTTTTCTTTTCAAAGATTAATGAAATATAAAAACCTTATGATCTCTTTTTTACTAGCTATATAAGAAGAGGGAAAAAAAAAACTTTAAATTTAGCTTAGAAAACGGGACGTTATGACACATCAAAAAGTGACGATGCCAACTCAGAAAGCACCAAATCCACGACGTCCCCCTTCCCCATAAGTCGTCGTGTAGTTTTCTACGTAATTACATGTGTGCCGTCTTGCCAACTTTTGTATATGCTAAAAAGCATGTCGGAGTCTAACGTGAGGGGCGTGTGATCATGTTTTCACTTTCTTTTTTTTTTTCTCTGGCCAAACACAATGCTTTAATCCTAATCCCCAAATTGAGATAAACATAAATTAAAGCTTCTTTTCTCTTTTGCTGAATTGTTGATGACCCATTCATGACTCATCCCACGGTCAAGTCACAAAAGACGATCACAATCTTTGCTTTTCATTTTCCTTTATATACCTTACCCTGCACCATACCATTTCACCAAGCAGCTTCATCTTACATATCACACAAGATCAAATTAATTAATTACTTAATCCTCTAACGATGAACATGAGCAGAGTTGAACAACAAGTCATTAGATTTCCAACGGGAAAGACTACCCCGGTGGGATACTTACCTGATCCGGCCTCAATTAACAAGTTCCGGGTTTCGGCTCCTTCCAAGAAATCTGAACAAAGTTAGTACCTATTTTAACTACATATGCTGAGTCCATATTGTTTTATCTTCTTCTTTTTTATTCCATGCAAAACTTGAAAGCTAACAGGATTGATTTCTTTCTTTTGACAGACAACGCAAAATCGATTCTTAAAAGGAAGAAAACCGATGGTTTCAGTTTCACCAGTGGAGCTAGAGACCAGAGCAAGCTAAGACCAAAGCTAACTGAAACAGTGAAGAGAAAGCTATCTTTGGGAGCTAGGATTCTTCAGGTTGGAGGTTTAGAGAAGATCTTCAAGAAGCTCTTTAGAGTCAGTGAAGGAGAGAAACTGTTCAAAATGTACCAGTGTTACTTGTCGACAACCGCAGGTCCCATTGCCGGGCTTCTGTTCATCTCGTCAAAGAAAATGGCCTTCTGCAGCGAGAGGTCGATGAAGGTGGCTTCTTCTCAAGGAGACATGATCCGGGTTCACTACAAAGTGTCAATTCCCTTGAGCAAGATAGAGAGAGTGAACCAGAGTCAGAACACAAAGAAACCATCACAGAAATACCTCGAAGCAGTCACCGTTGATGGTTTCGACTTCTGGTTCATGGGGTTCTTGAGCTACCAGAAAGCTTTCAATTGTCTTGAGAAGGCTCTTTCTCTGAGCTTTGAAGACGAGGAAGACCAATAAAGCTACGACTTTATGATGAGCTTTGGAGTTTAGGATAAATATTTCATTTCTTCTTTACCTGATTGATCACAGAGTAGTCCTAGAAGGCTAGAAGACAGACAATACTGTACAATTAAACTCACATTCTTATTTATCTTTTCCATTGTAGACAATTTCAGATGAATATATTAAGGTAATCATTTATCTTTGCGAAGCTCAACCAACGCAAATGGAAACTCTATAGGGCTCTGGAAAAGAAAAAGAAAAAAAAAAAAACAATATCCTTGTGCTTGATATACACAGAGAAATGTGCCCTGACACGTCCAATCAAGAACAGAGTACACAAGAACCATTTTATTGAGTACAAGTCTCTTAAGATTCTTAAGCTCAATCTTTCCCTAAGTAAACATAACAACAAAAGTGAACAGTCTTGAGTTATATTCATAGCAGTGGAAGAATCAAAGAGCTTCACTCACCAGCCTGCTTCATCATACAACATATTTGTTCAGTATCTACTGAGGCAGGTCTTTATTTTTACTGCTGTCTAGCCACGAAATCACCCATGTCAGCTGGTTGTTGCGTAATGCTTCACTTAAGCAAACCGATGCCATGGTAGAAATAAATTTCCATGATCTGTGGAAGGGTAAATATGGGAATCTTGGGTTGTGACAACTGTCCCCGGGAAGTTAAGTCTGGTCAAGAAACATATTCTTAAAGACAAAGTGAACGATGGAGCTTCTCCAAGGAATTTCATTTGAGACAGCAAACAGTTGAAATGAATTGATAGGAACTAAGTTTGAATCAATCGAACTCAACACTCAAGAGTCGAAATTCTTGAGACCAATCTAAATTACAGAACCGTACCTCCTCGGTTTCTACATGGATATTTGATGTATCAACAACTAAGGTACACGGAACTGAAGACTCATCACCAAGTAGAAGCAAACATGCCTCATAAATTCCATTCGCAGGCGGTAAATTAAGTACTGATGATCTCGGGATAGAAATTATCGTTTCACTCCGCATATCTTGGGTTCTGACTTGCAAGATAAGCCGATGTCCCCTGCCAAGGAGCTCTGATACGTACCTCATATCTCCCACTGCAAGAGCCTGGCGTACACGTGTCGAAGAGACTTGGCCTCTGTCTTTTGAGTCCACTGAGTCTCTCTTTCCTGGGCCTTGCTTCTTGTCCATCACAGAGTTTATGATGTAAGCAGTGATACCATATTCCTCGCACAGTCTCACTAGCTCAGAGGCATCACCAGACGCTTTATATCCAAATCGGTAATTTTCACCTGAGGAAAAAAGTTTTTGCAAACAACTTATTTCGTTTATTCTTCAACATGAAATGGTACGAGAAAGGAGTGGTTTAGAGCTTTTAAAAGTTTACCTGCCACAACTCCGCAGACTCTGAGCTCCTTTGATAGCTTCTCCACAAACTGCCGTGGGGTAAGATGTCTCACACTGGCAAATTCTATCTCGTGCTCTTCAGGTGCTCTGTTTCCACAATATGAGGCCCAAGAGGCAAGCACCCTTTTCCGATCACATTTAGCCACTATTGGAGCCCTGCTTGTACAAATTTATATTGTCAGTAGGCACCATGGGAGCGAGGCACAAATTGATTAAAAACCGAATCTGATCAGCAGAATTAGATCTAATGTTTGACAATCTCAAAGAACATGAACCAAACGACATTTCTGCCAAAAAGAAAAGGGAAGGCATGAATGCTACAGGTGAGGACATTACCTAGGCTCCCAGCCAAGTACCTCGGCCATTCCAACAAAAGATAATAGATACGGAGTTCCAATTCTTGAAGCTTGAATCGTAAGCTCTCGATGGCCAATATGCAGGGCATCAAACTTCCCAAGAGCAACAATGCCTCCTGCAAAATATAATGCATTAGATGATCATGTAAAAGGGAAAGTGAAAAAACAAGAAAAAAAGGTGCATAGTCTATGCAGGTATGCACATCAAAGAAAGGTATGCAAAACCATCATGGAACTTGCGAGCATAATCATCTACGCTAACATCTACTAAGATCCATTCTTCGGAAGTATATACCAGCGCTCTCTCCAAACGAGAAGAAAGGTGTGACATTTGCTAGGATGCAATTGGGTTTGAGGGAGTTGAATAAAAAACTTGAATGAAGATGCAAGAAATAAGCCAGCTAGATACCTGAAACTGGGGATAATCCTTCAACTGAAAGCTCAGGATCATCTTCTCGTTGGCTTCAGAAGAAGATAGCAAAATAACCCGAATTTAACATCATTCAGATAAATTCATATCCAGAAACATAAATTTCGACATTTTACACAATCTCAGTAGTAAATAAGCTGAAAAAACCTAAATTATGAAACTTCACATGAATTGGTCAAAATATCAACCGTGACACAGATATCAAAGTGAGGAGAAGACATGAATCAGATGTCAAAGTCAGGAGAAGAAATTAAAACCTGAAACAATTGTGAAGAATAGGAATTTCTCCGGGATTTCTGCAATGCGACCCATATGAAGATATCATCCGCTGTTGTAATTTATGATTGAAATGACGACCGCTCGCCATAGCCTGACAAGGCCTGAGATAGAGTGAAGAGAGCTGCACAATCTTAGCACCACAAAACCCTAATCCTAATCCAATCGAAGTATGATGATGGTGGTCGGACAAATGCTGCAAGACACGTGAACCTCCGCACAACATGGTTCCGTCACGTAATTACCGATCGGACAAGCTCGCTCTGACGGAGAGACTCTTCGCCGGAGCTAACACAATGGTCAAATTTTATGTCCAAAATAAGTCATAAACCTCTGACTAGGCCAGAGTTTTTGCGGTACCTCTCTGATATTTACAATTATCCAGCAAAAAAAATAAAGTAAAGACATTACTGTACTTCACTGTTTGCACACATAAAAAAAAAAAAAAAAAAACTGTACTACACTCTGCTAGACCAAATAATCACCATTGACAAGAACATTTATCTAATACATGAGTAACGTGTCTTTCATAATTTTCTCTGTAAACAAAGTAATAAGACCATTCTCATATATGCTCATAATTGATTTCTACGGTTCATTTTACAAAGGGAACACCAGAAGGCACTCTCTGCGCATACTCCACATACTGTCTCCCAAAAAACTGCTTCAAGTAATGCTCCTCATAAGGTATTCTCTCTGCAAAGAACCGCCACACCACAACTGCAAACGCAATCGCTGAAACGGGATTACACAGCATCACTTGTGTTCCGACTGACCAAACAAGAAACCCGGAGTAACTTGGATGCCTCATGATTTGATACACTCCTCCTGTCACAAGCCTATGATGCTCCTCCTTGCGAATCTTTATAAGGTGTGTGAACGATCTACCTGCTGTGATTATAGCGGTTTTGCGGATGATTTCTCCGAATAGGATCATTATGAGACCGAAATTGCTGATCCACCAGTGTTGTTTCAGTCCCGGGAAGAATACTATCTCCGCTAGGTACTCGAGAACTGAGATTACCATTGCTAATGCATAGTGTTTGCTGATCAAAAGTGAGCTTAAAGTGACTCTGGACCTCCCATGAATGGCTATGGCGAGAATGTATTCCGATGTATGGAAGAAGATTATGGCCAGGAACATTTGAGTTAACTGCCTGAATCCGGTGTCACTAAATATCTCTGTCATTGATTCTTCACAAGATTAACTAAGACCTGCGAAAACATTCAAGTTAAAGACCCGAGAAGATCCAAAAACATCATTAGCCAAAGATGGGAAACAACAAGCATTCAAGTAAAATGCAATCCAACTCACTTCACCAAAGATTTCTTAAACCCAAACCTCAGAAACAACTAATCTCAATCAATGTAACAAATCAAACTAACTTGTTATAAGTCAGCTCATTACTAGATAGATGCTTATGCGGCATCAGCCTAGTGATCATACCGGCTTTTCTGATTAAAGTTCTTCTAACACTAAACAACAATCTTCTTAATACAACAATTGGTCCATGACATGCTTACAAACACACAGTTTTTACATGAAAACTGAAGATCTTATTCAATTATAAATGGATATGTATACGTTGGCAATCAAAAAATTATAACAACTAATTTCATAACTTATGGATTTTCTTCCTCAAAGAATTGAACAGAAACCGTAAAGAGCCACGAAGATCTGAGACATACCCCTTTAGAATTGACGGTTGCTGCGAGGGGAAATGCGAGAAAGTCTGGAATTTGCTGGAGTGAGAATCGCGTGGACTTTGGAGGAGAGAAGCAAAGTTTACACCTTTGCCCTTTTATCTTTGCTTGATATGATTAAAGAATTACTTTTGTAAAACACAAAGATCTCATCATTACATTTGGTAATCACCGAGAAAACAAGGTCTTGTCTGAACCATAGAGCTTCCGGGCAAAATCGATGAGAGCAAACGTTGCTGGAGCTCCGATATGGTATCCCAGAGAACCAGGGTTCCGCTTTGTCATTTTAGGGTTATTGGTTCGAGACGGTTTGATCCAATTTCACCAATCGGTTAGTTCCGGTTCAATTTCTTTTTTTTCATTTTTTTTTTGTTGGGGCTCCAAGTACTAGAGATGTCTAGATTGAGAGACTTCAAGTCAGTCAATAGAGTCTGTGGCATGGTATTAACCGTATAATAGTTTATTCTGAAGAAGAGTAACAATATACGGCCCATGGTGTTTTGAAGCTACAAATATTGTAAATTTGCTGAAAGCTTTTATTGTAAGCAGTTATTACTCTACCCGCATAAACGGCTCTGGACAGAAGCAAGACAAGGATATGTTTTTGATATTAGTTTTGGGGGCCAGTGAGAAGTTTGGAGCCATAGTATTATTATTGATCAGGCCCGCTCTGTTTATCAGTTTTCAGATTTGTTTTCTTTTTACCACGAGAGTGTCTTCTATTCACCGGAGGAGGATCTTTATGGTACGGTGGTACCTCAAAACTGGCATCTCAGCTTCATTGACAAAAGTAACCATAAAAGTATTCACGCACGCACAAAGTTTACAGGACGGCCAGAGCTTTTGCTGTTCTTTTAGTTTTCTAAAGATATTGATTTTAAAGACTCTGTTTCGCCAGCAAAAACAGAGCTTTTATGGCGTTTTTAGGTACAATTAATCAATCAATCAATGGATCTCTGTTTCTTTCAATCTCCCAAAACAAATTTCCAGATAATCTTAAACCCCTAAAACCCTAATCAAAACACGCAATTGTAAGCTTAGCATCAACTAGAATTATAAGAGCCAAATAAATACTCTCCTAAAACACTTTCGGATGACATAAAAACATAGGACTTATCTCTCTATACATACCAAAAAGACAAAGACCCTTTTTATTCAACGTGGGTCGTGGTCGTCTTCCCTCCGACCGGACCCGTTAGCTCCGCCAGACAAAGAAGCAAGCAGATTGAGATGATGACCCGGTAGATAATTCCCAACTCTAGCTGCTGAAGCCTCACCCATTGCGGCAGCGGAAGCTTGCTGTTGTTGTTGTTGCTGTTGCTGGTGACGGACAAAGAGTGTAGCTGGTTGCTGCTGCTGAGCAAATACCATCTCCGGTGGAGCTCCGGCTGCAAAGCTCCAAACTTGTCCGAAATCCGGCCTCGCCGGAACAGCCCAGAACCCAGCAGAACCACCAGCGCCACTCATCAAGGAAGTAGTCCCCATAGTGTGTCCGACAGTTAACCCTCCTCCGGCGTTGGACTCTGCTTCCTCAGCTCTGACGACGCGTTTACCGAGAGTGAAGGGAGAAGAAGTGGAGAGAGAAGCGGTGGAGAAACTAGCGGGAGTAGTGCCAGTGCCAGTGGCGGCAATGATAGAAGGCTCGGCTTGGCGGAGGAGCCACTCAATGGTTTGACCGTCGGATTTGTGACCAAGCTCTCGGGTGAGCTGGAAAACACGAGCGGCGCAAATGATAGGCATACGAATCCTTCTACCTCTGCCGTCGACTTTGCTGTGACGATCTTTAGAAGGGGGTTTCTTGACGGCGTTAAGGGGTCCTTTGATCTGCTCGAGTATGACGCCGTTAGTGACAGCTCCGTCGTTGTTGGCCATGGATTTTATTCCGTGAAGTGGGGGATATTCACACTATAGATGTTATAACAAGACTCTCTATCTCACACACGAGAAGAAGAAGAAGAAGAAGGAGGAGGAGGTAATAGTAATGATATGATGAGAGAAGGAGGAGGAAGCTAGGCTGGTGGGAGGAGACAGGAAGGAGAGCACATGGCTGGTGGGCTCCCACACAGCTCACTTCTTCTGCTTCCTTCCTTTTTTAAAAAATATTTTTAAAAAACTTGTTGGAGCAATTCTGTACCGGAAGAGTTTGAAGGTCACGCGCTTGACCCCGGTGTTGACTGTGGTTTGGGACCACGGTCCGGCAGGAGAATTTAAGTTTTACTATATGGTTGGGGTCCCCGTCCCTCCTGATCTATTACTAATGTATATCGTTTGCTTAATTCACACCCTAAGCGTAATTAAGTACAACCACTTACTATTAGGCGAATAGAATGTGAATCGTGTTATGGTTTTTGTGATTAATGCCCCTCTTTACTGGGAGAAAGGTTGTTAATTACGTCCTACTTACTACTTTAATCTCACCAAAATTGATACATGAGAATTTTCTTTTGAAAAAGAGAAGAAAACATTTAGTAGCTAGATTTGCAATTAAGCCAAAAGGTGCATCCAGTTCCACGATGGTTGAAAAGATAGTCGTCTCAGTCAGATGTGGAATAATAAGAGAGACAATCAATGTGGTAATTGATTGGTGAGTAGACCTTCTTTACGCCAACACTGATTACGAGTTTTTCAATTTTACGATTTTTTATTTTATTTTTACTTTTATTAGTTTCACATTCTGATTATAAATATGTCATTCTTTGTGTGTTTTTAGAAGATTTTTTTTAAAAATAGCTCCAATGAAAAATGACAACTACGCGCTTTATGACGCTGATTACTATTTAAAACCAGTGCGTTCCCCACAAAATAATAATATGCGTTCGTGCGTCCAGTTTTGTATAAAAATCAATACTAATGCGTCCATTAAGCAATAATCAATCATAATAATTCGATGATTTGGAGCGTGACATAATAATAATATTTTTTTAAAAGTAGTCGTGCCCATCTGGCAGATACGCCGATTTTGATATGTCGTTGCCTCGAGATTTTATTTTATTTTATTATTTTCTACATTATTTCGTGACAATTATTTCTCTACTTACTCAACATTTTTCTATCATTCAGACTCCACATTTTTCTATCATTCACATTATACTTTATTATCGTATAATACTATCATGAGTTTATGATGCTTCTAACTACAGACGATTAGACCCAAACTAGCTTCTTAAAGATGTTTGATAAGCTATAAAAGTAAACCAAAATTAGCTGCACCTTAAATTCTGAGACCTTAGAACTATGACTCACAGCTGGGTGAACCACCAAACTAGTGACTGTAGTATATAGGAGAAGTTTTAGTTACATTTAGTAGAGTTGCTAGGAGGATTCAATTAAACTTAATCACACACACACAAAAAAAATACAATACTTATTAATGACCGGCCCTTTCTGTTGGTTGAGTGATTAATGGGGGTTTTCTGAATGATTAGTTGTGGGGTTAGCTGGAAAAAATACATATCGACAATTTATAATGATCACCAATTACCAAAAATGTACATATATATATATGTTTTTTTATAAAAAAAATAATAACAAATGTGTACGAATCATTTGACAATTGTCAAATGTGTTAAACAGCTGGAGCCCATTCTCATATGCGTTATATTTATCAATTTTAAATTAATAGCTACGAATTATTTATGGGTTGTGGACGAAACTACAAGAAAGTGACACTTCTGTTCTGTCTTAAAGAGAGAATCAACTCAACTCGTGTTTCATACAAAATATCTTTCTTTCTTCTTCTTTTTCTCACTTGGTGATGCCTCCCTAGATTTTCTTAGCTTACTCCACCAATCAGAATAATCCACGTCATCTCGTGTTTTGAAATGAGAGGATCGCTTTATCTTCTTCTTTCCATTTTGACTAGCGTGACTCAGACGTCGGAGACCAAACAGCGACCATTGATTAATCCTTTTTCTCCCACTAACATGGATTATTAAACTTTTGGTTATTTCTTTGGTTTGTTCTCACTTTCAATCTATCTAGTTACTACTGAAGTACTAATACAAGAAATACGTTAATTCACAGCTTGGATCCATCTACTAAAATGTACAGTGGGGTCTTCGGTGAATCACAATGTCAAAGTTACGCCGGACCTAAACTTTTTGATTACTTTTACATCATTTATATATTTTTATTCAAGTTTCATAAATGTAATCTAGCCCAGGTGTAACTAATGTAAGTAAGTATTCTAGCTCCAAACACCTATTTTTCTCAGCTCCCTTTCTATTTCGTATTTGTTTGATGATTTTGATTATCGTGTAGACAAATTCTGACTAGGAGTTGGGAAATCCATGCGTCAGTCATATTTCTCAAACGACTTCATTTTTCAAAAATTATCTAACATTATACACCAAATGTTAAGACAGACGCAAACTATCGAAACCTAACAAATCCTAGCCACCAATTTCGGAAAACGTTACAAACTCATTACTCATAACACCAGGTTGTTTGTTTTAACTTTTAAGGCTCGCTTGGAATGACATTAAAGAAATGGTAGATCTCTTCACTGTCGACCACTCCGATCTCTGTCGAACAAGCTGAGCAGAAGACTTGGGTAACTTTTTCGCTCTCTTCAGAACCAGTTTCTTGCATCTCGTAATCTCTCCTTCTTTTACCAACCTTCGCGGGGATTGCTTTGTGTTGCAAAATTGTGTCTTTATCTACTCTGCAATTGACCACAAATACAGCCCTATACTGTGTCACATGCTGCTCATGCCTGCAAAATTTGTACTCACTTGTCTTAATCTGATTTTAACATATAATGATATGCTAAAACATGTTCACCTGTCGGCCAAGTCGATTCACACAGCTCAAAGAAGGACGAACATATCAAGTTATAAACAAGACAATATCGTCAGGTTGAAGAGGAATCCATTTTGTTAAGTCCTTACGTTGTTATGCCTAAGATTCTACCAAGATTTTCATGCCTAAAAAGAATATTTGGATTTTCACATGTCGATATCTAGAGCCTGTAACAATGGTCAAGAATCTCCAAATCAAGTCAACATTCCAGAATCTAACAAGTTACTATCAATATATTCTCCAGGTAGCAAACACATTGGTGGGGATTGATATTGAACAATGGAATCTAGCAACATTGAGAAATCAAATGTTCGATGGGATATAACAATCTATGAAGAAGATAAAACACCATGTTAAAATGAATCACACAAATGTTGATTTCCTCGAAAAAACAAGTCAGGAACCGGTTTGCATCCTATCAAGATTGCCATTCCTAAATCTAAAGCCTGTAACAATGGTCAAGAATCTCTAAAACAAGTAAACAATCCAGGATCGAGCAAGTAACTATCACTATATTCTTCAGGAAGCAAACCTATGTGTTGAGATCAAACAATGGAATACTGGCAACATTGGGAACTCCATTAGATATAATAAACTAAGAAGATGAAACACCAAGTTCTAGTGAGTCACAAACTGCGGATAGACAAAATGGAAATTACCTCTGACACTCTAAGCAGACAGTGGTGAAACAAGCTGGACAGCTAAGTACAGCATCAGAAGTACGACCATCTCTCTTCTTAGCCATCCATAGCTCATCTTTATCATCAAGATCTGAATCATAGAATTCTGGTTTGATGGAGTAATCAATCTCATCGTCGTCTGAAACTGTTACAATGTAGTATACAAAAAAAGGAATTAGGATCTCATCAAAAAAATGTATAGACAAGAAACTTGTTTGTTCCTTTTGATTCTACATTATATAAAGTAATATCATTTAACTTGAAATCTAAAGAAGATGCAACTCAGAAACAAGAAGACAAAAATCAGAAATTGCAAGAAACCCTATAACACTGAGTAAACAACTTTTCTTGTCGCAATCTAAACACCACAAAGAGGATGAGTCGAATCGGCCGGCGAACGAAAAGAGAGTGAAAGGGGTAATAGTTTACCAGTTTTCTGTGAATTGATCGGAGAATCCATGGTTTTGAGATTCGAACTTCACTGATTGCGTAACATACGACACGATACCTCTTTGTTAAGCTCAACGTCGAGCTCCGGCGATGCACCCAAATCGGAGGAGCAAACAGATTTTGAGAGTTAATAACTTCCGGTGGCTCCTCAAGTAATGCATGTGCTAATTGGGCTTAAAAAATAGTTCAGATAAAAAGGCTTTTGGGCTTTCAGAAACTAAACAAGCCTTAAACTGTATACCGAATTCTTTGTTATCTAATTTTAGCCATGTAATGATTTTGTTCTTTGTAGAAGTCACAACGGAATATAAAGGGTTTGAATTTTCTTTAAAACAAAATAAAACGTCATGATATAACTAGCAAAAAAGAAGTAAACTATAGTTTGTATTCATCAACAAATCAACTAAATGTGGAAAGAAAAAAAACTAAATGTAGAATATATTTTGGTATAAACATCGACAAATCAACAAAATGTGAAAAAATATTAAATGTAGAATACATTTTGGTATAAATAAGAACGAAAGCATATCTTTCTTTTTATCAGAAAACAAAAACAAATTTTAAACACTTTTTAAACAAAAGTCTAGAAAGAAGATTAACAATGGCAGTGTAAAAGTTTTTTCTTTTGTTTTGCTTCTTGTTCTCTTTTTCTCCATTGGTACGTCTTTCTTTTTTATAATTTGTTAAATTTTAAATTATAAAAATCCTTAAACTCATCGTTAAAAAAAAAAAATTATGTGTGTGATATATATTGGCAGATGTTGAAGGATATAATGTAGAGAGTGGTTCGTCGTTGTGTTGTAATAGCCACCCAAAATTTGGAAAGTGCAACACAAAAAATGACAATGAGAGATGCAACAATTGGTGTCTCAATGGTTGCAGCAATGGAAAATGTGGTTTCTGCAAACCTATGTCTCATGGAGGACAATGCTACTGCTACTGTTAAGTCAAAATTTAAAAAACATCACTGTTTACAAGTGTTATTAACCCACTATAAATAAAAATTATTTATGCGTTTATGTTTGGTGTTGCGTTATTATGCGTTTGTTTTATTGCTAATATTTGCATAACTTGATACTATAAGAAAAAGCTTTTATCATTAATCAAAGAAATAAAAAATAAAAACTTTAGTATAATAAAAATTATAATGTCTCAAATTCTCGTAACGAAGACTCCCAAAAACAAAACAGATCGTATAAAAAAGTTCTATTAGAAAAAGAGAAATATATTCTTCGTTATTAGTTGACATTTGTCGGCAACAAAAGATAGAGGTTGACCTTATACAACTTAAAAACACGTCTGCAAAATTCGCGTTTCAAATTCGCTTCCTCCAACCAAACCAACATTGCGTAAGCCAAAATACGGTCTTCTTCAGGGTTTAGGAAAATCGAAAATCACATACGAAAGGGGTTTTTGCGGAGTAGTGTATTTTCTCATGGCCTTCTCGAGAATCGCTCTTCTTTGCCATCGATTCTCTAGACAAGAGCAACGCCAACTTCACAGACCATTCACCACGAAGCTAGATAACACCAGATTCATCCATCCCAATCAATCCAAGCTTGCCCAAAACCTTATTGCGATCTTCACAAGACAGCCTTTTTCCCCTGACGACCCTGAGTTACTGAGACTCTCTCCAGAGCTGAACACCAAGGTAGTTGAGACCGTCTTGAATGGCTTTAGGAGGTGGGGTTTGGCTTATCAGTTCTTTAATTGGGCTTCTAATCAGAAAGATTATAGAAATGATATGTATGCTTACAATGCCATGGCTTCTATCCTATCACGTGCTCGACAAAATGCCTCACTGAAAGCTTTGGTTGGAGATGTTTTGAATTCTCGTTGTTTCATGTCCCCTGGAGCGTTAGGGTATTTTATTAGGTGTTTGGGTAATGCTGGGCTGGTGGAAGACGCAATCTTGGTTTTTGATCGAGTTAGAGAGATGGGTCTTTGTGTTCCCAATGTATATAGTTATAACTGTTTGTTCGAAGCAATTTCTAAGTCGAATTCAAGCTCCGCTGAGTTGGTTGAGGCGAGGCTGGATGAGATGAGGGATTGCGGGTTTCAGTTTGATAAATTTACACTTACTCCAGTTTTGCAGGTTTACTGTAAAACTGGCAAGACTGAGAGAGCCTTGAGTGTTTTCAATGAGATTCTTAGTCGAGGCTGGCTTGATGAACATATTTCAACTATCTTGGTTGTATCATTTTGCAAGTGGGCTCAGGTGGATAAGGCGTTTGAGTTGATTGAGATGTTAGAAGAACGCCACATTAGGTTGAACTTTAAGACATATTATGTTTTGATTCATGGTTTCGTAAAGGAGTCTCGGATTGATAAAGCGGTTCAGTTGTTTGAGAAAATGCGTCGGATGGGTATTGAAGCTGATATTGCATTGTATGATGTGTTGTTAGGTGGACTTTGCAAGCATAAAGATCTTGAGATGGCTCTTAGTTTGTATTTGGAGATTAAGAGGTCAGGAATTCCACCTGATAGAGGAATACTTGGGAAGCTAATATGTTCTTTTTCTGAAGAAAGTGAATTAAGTCGGATTACAAAAGTGATCATCGGAGATATAGACACAAAATCTGTGATGCTTCTTTACAAATCTTTATTGGAGGGGTTTATAAAGAATGATTTGGTGCACGAGGCTTACAATTTTATTCAGAACCTCATGGGAAGTCATGAGTCGGATGGTTTGTCTGAGATTATCAAGCTTCTTAAGGATTATAATAAAGCAATCCTCCCAGATTCAGATTCTCTTAGCATTGTGATTGACTGTTTAGTCAAAACTAACAAACTGGATATGGCAGTGACATTGTTATGTGATATTGTCCAGAATGGCCTTACACCAAGTCTTATGATTTACAACAACATAATAGAGGCGATGTGTAAAGAAGGAAGGTTGGAAGAGAGCTTGAAACTCTTAGGAGAAATGAAGGATGCCAGAGTTGAACCAAGTCAATTCACACTTAATTGTATTTATGGTTGTTTGGCTGAACGATGCGATATTGCAGGGGCACTTGATCTGCTGAAAAAGATGCGTTTTTATGGATTTGAGCCATGGATAAAGCATTCGACTTTCCTTGTCAAAAAACTTTGTGAGAATGGGATGGCTTTTGATGCTTGCAAATACCTTGATGATGTGGGCGGAGAAGGTTTCCTTGGTCACATGGTTGCCTATACTGCTGCAATTGATGGCGTCATTAAAAATGAGGGAGTAGATAGAGGTTTAGAGTTATTTCGAGACATAGGTTCGAAAGGTCATTGCCCTGATGTGATTGCATATAATGTATTGATAAAGGCTCTATGTAAAGCATATAGAACTACGGAAGCTGATAACCTGTTTAACGAAATGGTATCGAAAGGACTAAAACCTTCTGTTGCAACATATAACAATTTGATAGATGGATGGTGCAAGGAAGGTGAGATTGAACGGGTCATGTCTTGTATAGCAAGGATGTGTGAGGATGAGAAAGACCCTGATGTTATTACTTATACTAGCTTAATCCATGGGCTATGCGCTAGTGGAAGACCTAGTGAAGCAATCTCTTGTTGGAATGAAATGAAGGGCAAAGCTTGCTTTCCAAATAGAATTACTTTCATGGCACTTATTCAAGGTCTTTGCAAGTGTGGCTGGTCTAGTGAAGCCTTGATTTATTTTCGTGAGATGGAAGAAAAGGAAATGGAGCCTGATTCAGCTGTTTACTTATCACTTGTGAGCTCTTTTCTGTCAAGTGAAAACATCAGTGCTGGGTTTGGGATATTCAGAGAAATGGTTAATGAAGGAAGATTTCCGGTTTCGGTAGATAGAAACTATCTACTTGCTGTTGATGCGACAAATAAGTTTGTGGATGACTCTAAGACGTCATGTTATCTTACAGGTCTAATTAAAAACGGCAGATTTCCAATTGTAGCTGTTTTGAGTAGAAAATGAGTCAAAAGCCAAACGCTTCTAATTGAAACAGGGGATACTTACCAAGATCGGTTGCAGAGCTGCTCAGCTGATGATTTAGTATAAGCTCAGCGTTGAAACCAATAAGAAGCTAGCTCCTTGTTGCTAATCTTGGTCTGGTGACATGGACCCAGCACATTCTTGCAAGGTATTTGCTTTGGACCAATATTTTATTGTCCTCTTAACGTTATGCACTTACATCAGAAGAAAAAACATGTAAGAATTAGTGTCTCTATATAGGTTTGGACCATTAATAGCAAGGCTTATGTCGACGTTACAATTACTGGCAACCAGGTTTCGCAAGTTATCTTTGATGAGATTATGCGCAGAGGTTCAGTACTATATGGATCAGTACTTCATTGGCTGGCAATGCTATGATTCAAACAAAACTGTTGCTGAAACTTCTGATATTCAATACGGGTTCTCAACGAGTTACTCATAGCTTTGCACGCAATGTTCAAGCTCAGATAGTTGCATTTGGATCCAGAGTGAAGATGAAAAATTTAAGATATGAATCTGAGATGTATACCAGGATTCCCAGTTGGATAAAGCAGTAAAAGCTTTTTGTCTATGGAATCCAGAAGTTAGCTTTGTCTGTATATTTGCTAGATTTCTATTTATTTGTTGACAATAACTGGAAGTCTGGAATCCACCATTCTATTTATTTGTTTGTAAATAAAATTTTGCGTTGTAAGCTTTTAGTCCTCCTTCCCTTGCATATTGATATTGGATTGATAAAAGGAAAAGGAGAGAATGACCAATAAAACCGTGATCTTGTATTTCCAGACCAAATAGCCCAATAACCAAAAAAAAAGGGTGCGTTTGTTACAATTAAAACATCAGGTTTTTTTAAAATAGACAAAGTAAAAGACAGGGTTCATTTGTCGTTAAACTAAAACATCAGGGCTTAATCTACAACTTATAAATCTCGTTAGTGAAACAACCGATTCGATTCAAACGAAGTAGAAAAAGTTGAAATTCTTAAGCGCCACATTGTAGTAAAAGAGGTGAATGTTGAAATCATCATCGTCTCTCTTTGCGAACTCGATTCTGCGTCGCGGATGGAAATCAATGTCGGAGGTGTACAAAACACACGCCCTCCTGATCCAACTTGGTCTCTCCGAGGAAGAGCCTTTCGTTTCTCAAACTCTGTCTTTCTCTGCTCTGTCATCATCAGGCGACCTCAATTACGCTTACAGATTCTTGTCAAAACTATCTAATCCTCCGAATTACGGCTGGAATCTCGTAATACGAGGCTTCTCAAACAGCAGAAACCCCGAGAAATCGATCAGCGTTTATATCCAGATGTTGAGGTCCGGGTATTCACCTGATCATATGACCTATCCATTTCTCTTGAAGTCAAGTTCTCGTCTTTCGAACAGAAAAATTGGTGGGTCTTTGCATTGCTCCGTCGCTAAAACTGGGTTTCAGTGGGATTTGTTCATATGTAATACTCTTTTTCATATGTATGGTTTGTTGCGAGACAGAGCTTCTGCGCGTAAGCTGTTTGATGAAATGCCTGTCAAGAACTTGGTCACTTGGAATGCTATTTTAAATGTGTATGCCAAGTGTGGGGATGTTGTTTCAGCAAGACAGGTGTTTGATGAAATGACTATGAGAGATGTTGTGTCTTGGAGTTCTATGGTCGATGGGTATGTAAAAACCGGTGATTATAACGAAGCGTTAGAGATTTTCGATCAGATGATGAGAATAGGTTCATCAATGGCAAATGAAGTCACTATGGTTAGTGTTTTGTGCGCTTGTGCTCACTTGGGTGCGTTAAATCGAGGAAAGACGGTACATCGATATATACTCGAGGAGCATTTGCCCTTAACAGTTATATTGCAGACATCTCTTATTGATATGTATGCTAAATGCGGCTCAATAGGAGACGCTTGGGGCGTGTTTTGTAGAGCATGCGTTAAGGAAACAGATGCACTGATGTGGAATGCTATGATTGGAGGGCTTGCAAGTCACGGGTTCGTTAGGGAGTCATTCCAATTGTTTCACAAAATGCAAGAATCTAAGATTAACCCAGACGAGATAACATACTTGTGCTTGCTTGCTGCTTGTTCCCATGGTGGGTTAGTGAAAGAAGCGTGGTATTTCTTTAATAGTCTAAAGAAAAGCAGATTGGAACCACAGAGCGAGCATTATGCTTGTATGGTTGATGTGCTTTCTAGAGCTGGTCTAGTTAAAGACGCACATGATTTTATATCTGAAATGCCCATAAAACCGACGGGTGCAATGTTGGGTGCTTTGGTTAATGGGTGTATAAACCATGGAAACTTTGAGCTTGCGGAAATAGTTGCAAAGAAGAGTATTGAGTTGCAACCGCATAATGATGGACGATATGTCGGGCTGGCAAACGTTTATGCTATCAACAAGCGGTTTGGCGCAGCTCGGTCTATGAGAGAAGCAATGGAGAAAAAAGGAGTGAAGAAAATTGCGGGACACAGTATAGTTGAATTGGATGGTACACGACATAGATTCTTAGCTCATGACAAAACACATGTTCACTCCGAGAAAATCTATGCAGTGTTAAAGCTAATTGAAACTTGGATCAATTTCGATGTTGACTATGATGATACTGAAGACACCCATTGTTTTTGTTTTTAAGAATTTCATAGTAATTTCTTAGATAAAAGTTCAACTAAATTAAGTTGAGAAACATTAATGGTTCAAAGGTTAGAGTAGAACAATTTTGATGGGTTAGTCTTTAAGCTGACTATAAATTACAGAAAATCAGAATTTTATTTCATCTGAGTCCTCCAAATAATCTATATCTGATTATTTTTTGGTATCAGTAAAAGATGTATAAAGAAACATTGATTCACTTTTGTTTCTTGTAATGGACGATACTATTAGTCACTGTAATGCAATAAACGTACCGATTTTTCTTTTGAACAACTTCTCATCATCAAATCATTTGATTATCACTCTTTTTCAATTGGAAAAAAATCATATCAATTTAGCAAAACAACCCCAAAAGTGTGCGCAGCCATCAATGGCGTGGAATTAGGGTTTTTTTTCTTTTTTTTTGAAGGTTTCAAAATGGAAAAAAAAGAACCGGGAGCTAGTGAAATTCACTTCACTGCTTCAAAAGACCTCTTTCTTGAAAGAGCTCATACATCGCCGCTCCAATCTTAGCCGGGGATTCAACAACCTTTACTCCGGCATCATTCAAACTCTTAATTTTGTCCTGAGCCGTACCTTTACCACCGGAAACAATCGCTGCAACAAATATAAACCACGAGAGTGAGTGAGAGCAAAAAGACCAAAAGTGGTCAATCCGATTTAAGAGTTATATAAAGGAAATACCTCCGGCGTGACCCATTCGACGACCAGGTGGTGCAGTAAGTCCAGCAATAAAAGCAACAACAGGCTTCTCAGTACCACTTGCCTGTTTATATTCACCGAAAACCAAAGTTGAATAAACTAAGAATGAATATAGAGCGAGATGAACCAAAGTTGAAAGAGATTCGCAATGGTATTATTACCTTTATCAATGCTGCAGCATCTTCTTCTGCAGTGCCTCCAATTTCTCCAATGAGAACAATACCTGAAACCGCCAGCTTTTTCTTAGTTTTAAAACTGAGCTACTATCTACGCTACGAAAAGAGAGGAACCAACGGAATCGAAGCCATCTAAAGAAAGAATCTTGCAACCTAAAGAAATTAAGTATGCATGCGCTAGAGGAAAAGATAATTTTGGGAAACCGTGAATAAGAGTTAAGATAATGTTAGTAACTCGAGCTCGCAAACATTACCTTCTGTTTGAGGATCAACAAAGAATTTCTCCAAGCAGTCGACAAAGTTTGTCCCATTAAAGGGATCCCCACCAATTCCAACACAAGTGGATTGGCCTAGACCCACTGCAGTTGTTTGGAAAACCTGCATGAAAGTTAAAATGAAACAACGTTTACAAATCTTGAAAACAAGGGCTAATATCAAAATTCAGAACCATCAAAACTCCCTCTATATAAATTGTCAAAAGCAACATTAACGACAAAGCAAGAACCATATTAAATTTAACCTTGGGAGTGAGTAATAGACAAGAAACCAAGAATATTATCTAAGATTATTCCCAGGCGAAAGGCTATGGTGAAATAAAACTCGGGATAGATGGAGACAAAGAAAAATGCATAAAACATAAAAAGACCTTACAGCTTCATATGTCAAGGTTCCAGATCGCGAGACAATTCCAATCTTCCCAGGCTTGTGGATGTATCCCGGCATAATTCCAATCTTGCATTCACCAGGCTTGATAATCCCAGGGCAGTTTGGACCAATCAGCCTAGTTTTTGATTGACCGTTAAGAGCATGCTTTACACGTACCTAAATCAGAAACAACACAGGTTCTAAGTCAGAGAGAGAAGCACAAGAGATAATTAAATGAGTATGCAATCATATGTACTAAGCATTGTAGGAGATACAACAAACAAAAACGAAGGCATGACGATGATAATATGTACCATGTCATGCTGAGGGATTCCTTCAGTAATACACACAATAAGATCCAATTCAGCCTCTATACCCTCCATAATAGCAGCGGCAGCAAAAGGCGCAGGTACATAAATCACAGAGGCATTGGCTTTCGTCTCAGCCTTAGCTTCAGCAACAGAGTTGAAAACAGGGAGACCTAAGTGTTCTGTTCCACCCTTCTTTGGTGTCACTCCTGCCACCTTTAACAAGGTAAAAACACACACAAGCTAAATTAGCAAAGCCATATTTGCCTTAAAGCAATCTCATCAACAAACACAGAAAGGTAAGAAAAAAAAACATTTCATCACTAAGATCTGACTAGTGTGTCACATGGTCTAAGAAATCCCAAGAATAACAAAACAGAGTGGGCACTAAAATCACTAGAACATCATCTAAACCAATGTAATCGGCAGAATAGAGAAAAAGCCAATTCGGAGAACATTAATAAAATCACGATTTACCATTTTGGTTCCGTACTCAATGGCTTGCTCAGTGTGGAAAGTGCCGTTCTTTCCGGTGATGCCTTGACAGAGGACTCGTGTGTTTTTGTCAACGAACACAGCCGCAGGAGGATGAGGATCCGACGCGAAAGAGCGAGATTGGGTCAACGAAGTGAGAGACTGGCATGACGGGAAAACCTCGGAGCCGCCGGTAGAACAACGGCGAGCTTTCGATGACAGAGATCCGATAAGCCTTGCGACTTGCCTAGACATGATTGATTGGCTTCTTCTTGGTGTTCCCGATCCGAATCAAGTTGTGAACCCTAAAACTGTGTGAAGGCGAGAAAAAAAGAAATGGTAGCAAAGAGAAAATTCAGCGGAGCTTCGTTTCGAAGAATCAGCTGGGTGCTGCGATCAAAAGCCGACAAAAGAGGCTTCCTTTAAAGGCTTCTCAAAATTTTAGCCCAAACCCATTCTTTCTAGATGATGGACTTTTCAGAATTTTTTAAAAATGTTTATTTTTCAGTAATTCGGTCAAACAAAAATAACCTAAAATCATAATCTCAAATACATCAACCAAAAAAATCATAATCTCAAATAATTATTTATCTTTAATATTCAAATTGACTTGTTTAATTTTCAACAATACGGATTTTCTGAAGTAAATTCTTCATAAGTAGACCAAATTGTATAATTATTATAGCTAAGATGTCCTATGTCAGTCACCTTTTGTTTCCTGAGAAGAAGAACAAGCATATACAACACATAAACCCAATATCGGCTTCCAAATTTCATTTCACTGAATTATGTTCGAAGCAAGTAGTAGTTACATACATAAATGGAGAATAACCGAAACAGCAAGCAAAAACCAGAATCACAATCATCAAAGCATATATGAAACCAGTTCATGGGTTATTTCAGCCGACCAGAATCAATAGACTCGAAGGTTTAAACAAACTAGATAGTGTTGGGAAGCCCGGTTAGTAGCGGTACTTGGTGGAGTAATCTTTTGGAGCAATCACCAACCCACGACCCTTCCTTGCACCGCGGTAGACGGTTTCGATGATATCGATGAACTCTTGCTTGTCCTTGAGAGCCCAGTTGATCTTGTTGTTGTTACCAGTTCCAAGATCGATCATGATGTGTTTGTTCCTGAAGAAGAACATGACCGTTGAAGGATCATACAGCTCGTACATAGTGTTGAAGTCTGGAACCTCAGTGATGTCCACAAGATAAATGACTGCAAAGTTCTTAATCGTCTCAGCAACCGAAGCTAGCACCTCATCCATCTGAAAAAAGAAAAAATCAAAATCACAGAATCAAAACCAGAGACCACAAAGAGAATAGCTGGTATATACGAACCACATTACTGAAACGTTAATTTCCATCAGTTCCATTATAAAGAACAAAACGAATGGCTCTAAAGTTTCAAACAAACGAAATCACCGAATCAGCCATTAAAAAAAAAAAAAAAAGCAGAGAACACACACTAAAACACAAGTCCGAACGAAACTTCTATAGCTAAACAACTCTAAAGATTAAGATTACTAGAGAAAAGCTTATTTTCATCAGTATCGAGCTAAAGAACACACGAATGGCTAAATTAAAAAACAATCACCACAGAATATCGCAATTTCCCAGCACGAAAGGATCCTAATCTAATCAAAACATAAAATCGAGCTCAAGATGGAAAAAAAAACGAAAAAAAAAAGAAGTAAAGAGGAAGAAGGGTTTCACAGACCTGCATACAAGTCTCATCCCAGTCGTGGCCGAATCGAATGACGACGAGACGCTCTTCCTCGGCCAGAATCGCCTGATCCACGGCCCAGCCGGAGTGCAGATGCGGTAGAAGATACGACATCCTCTCTCTTTATCTCTAGACAATTCCGATCTGTTTTTTCTTTCAATTCAATCTTTTTCTCTCTTGCCCTAAATTTCATATTCGATTCCCAATTTTGTTGACGGTGACGGCGCGTCGATTCCACGCGAGAACCGCTCTAAGTAGCTGGACTAAAGCCCATGAGAATATTTACTTTCGGCCCAATAAAGTTAAACCCAAGAGACTGCGAAACGGACGGTGATAAAGGTAGTAGAACACCAGAATCTGGAATGAGTCGTACGTAGAGGATTAAACCTCTAAAATCTAATTATCCTATCCAATATCCTCTCATAGAGGTGAGAGCTAAGATTTTCCCATCAACTCCATTTTGAAGCCAAATTCTCTGATCTCTCTCTTTCATTTTGTTTTCCCTCTAAATCTCTCCAACGATTCCAAATCTCACTTCACCTTTGCTTCACCTGAATCCATGGATATCGCTTCTTCATCTCTCTCCCAAGCTCACAAGGTTGTTCTCACGCGTCAACCTTCTTCTCGGGTCAACTCCTGCTCCCTTGGTTCGGTCTCCGCTATTGGATTCTCGCTTCCGCAAATCAGCTCTCCAGCTTTAGCTCAATGTCGCCGGAAACAGAGCTCTTCTGGGTTCGTGAAAGCTTGCGTTGCTGTTGAACAGAAGACCCGAACTGCTATCATCAGAATTGGCACAAGGGGAAGGTAAATTTCTCTCTTTTTTCTTCCATTACTGATCTTGGTAGATTCCATTAACTCTTTTGAGTCTATGAGCTCCTGAATGCTATTGGGTTGGCCTTGCTTCCCTTAATCCCGATTCGAAGTATCCGTTACTGATACTCTGGTCTGATCCGTTTTCTTGGTTTTCTGGGATTTATTGTAAACAATATCAACAACTACCCATGTATAGATGGTATAGTGTATAATTTGTTAAGCTGGAGATGAGATATGGTGCTCTTGGTTCTTTCTTCGACAATCTCCTGCATTGATTGAAAAGATCATGTTTTTGTGTACTCCATTGATGTAAGCTCATACAAACAAAAGTTCAGTAGCCAGATGTATAAATGGTGAATGAGTTTAACTTCTGATGCGTCTTTATCTTCCTTATTTTTTTCTGCTTATATACTCTCACTGTGTAGGACAGTCCTCTAGCACTTGCTCAAGCATACGAGACACGAGAAAAGCTCATGTCTAAACACCCAGAACTCGTTGAAGATGGAGCTATTCACATTGAGATCATTAAAACCACCGGTGACAAGATTCTATCTCAACCGCTTGCTGATATTGGTGGGAAAGGACTTTTCACTAAAGAAATAGACGAGGCCTTAATAAACGGCCATATTGACATAGCTGTTCACTCAATGAAAGATGTCCCAACTTACTTACCTGAGAAAACGATTTTACCTTGCAACCTTGTGCGTGAGGATGTACGGGATGCTTTTATTTGTCTGACTGCAGCCTCGTTAGCTGAGCTTCCAGCTGGAAGCGTTGTTGGAACAGCTTCTCTCAGGAGAAAATCGCAGATTCTCCACAAATATCCTGCATTACATGTAATTCACAACATAGAGACTGCCATTTCTAAAGGATCCGTGTTATCTTTCTTACAATTGTTGATTAATGCTTTTATTGCCTATGCAGGTTGAGGAAAACTTTAGGGGTAATGTGCAGACAAGACTATCAAAGCTTCAAGGAGGAAAGGTCCAAGCAACTCTATTAGCACTAGCTGGTCTTAAGAGATTAAGTATGACAGAGAACGTCGCATCTATCTTATCTCTAGATGATATGCTTCCAGCTGTTGCTCAAGGAGCTATTGGAATTGCCTGTAGAACCGATGATGATAAAATGGTATCTAAGTTTTCTTGAATTCACTCTACCCGATTATGTTTCTCCTTATGGGACCTTTAGATATATTGTTAATGAATAAATTATCCGATTGGTGGTATTTTACATCTGTAGGCAACTTACTTAGCCTCATTGAACCACGAGGAATCAAGACTAGCAGTTTCATGCGAGAGAGCGTTTCTTTTAACGTTAGATGGCTCATGCCGGACTCCAATTGCTGGATACGCTGCCAAGGACGAAGAAGGCAACTGCGTTTTCAGAGGATTGGTTGCTTCCCCTGACGGTACTAAAGGTATGAAAACATTTCTATATTAACACACATGAGAGGATAAACACATTCCCATTGAAAAATCATCATTCATTTCTCATATTTCCATCTTTGTATCAGTTCTTGAGACCTCTAGAAAGGGTCCATACGTGTATGAAGACATGGTGAAGATGGGAAAAGATGCAGGCCAAGAATTGCTTTCTCGTGCTGGTCCTGGCTTCTTCGGCAACTGAGTCATGCAAAGAAGAGGAGGAAGAGACGTGACACGGACAAAGTCTAGGGTTTAGGAGTAATTCAACATCTTCAAGTCCCGTTTCTTCCTCCTAGATTTGTTGTAACTTTTTTGATTTTTTGAGAGAGACGTAACCTTTTGTTTATTGATTGTTTTGTTGTATTTAGATTAAAGCCATCTTGCAAATGTATCCTTTTTATTATTCTCACTAAAACTAGTTCCCAAAATTCAGAGAAACTAAATGAAAACAGGAGTTTTTAACTCAATCTCCTAAGATTCATCTTCATCTTCATCAACTGGAGTATACCAATCGGGTTTTCTCTTAGAATTGCTCAGCCTGTAATTCAGCATTAGTTCCTCATTGCACAACGCTCTTGTAGCCACTAGAACAAGTGTCTTCAGTACGGGAGCATCCAAACTGGTATGATTCCCTTTCCTAGATAAGAAGCTTCCAGATCTCCTCAACTTTACATCTGCTGTGTTCCCGCAAGCTACATTTGGAATGTAAGCTCGCATCTCTGTCTCTGACAAAGGGAAGTCGTACGGGCAAATCATGACATTAGGATCCATGTCTTTACCAGGGTGGTTGGTGAAATGACCAAACGCCAACGGGTTTCTCATTTCGAGAACCGTTCCTACATTACCCGAACTTTCAAGCGGCCTCAGCATCTTTAATACCTTGTCTGTAACGTTTTCCGCAGTTGTAACCTCTGTTGTGAGCTCAGGTGTTGTAAAGGAGCTGTTCCATACTTCCCGTGATTCTCCTCCACGTCCCCATGGTTGAGCGTTTATTACCGTCCCATCATGCCCAGTAATCACATATGAGTTCTGAGCATCGACATTCGGAAACCCAGGAATGTATCTGTAGAATGCAGGAGAGTAGATCACACCAGGGTAAAAGGCCAAGACAGCTCCCACATCTGCTTCACCTTCAATGAAACAACCCTGACCCGCTTCTTTATGAGGTATTAACGATGGTCTGATGTCAAGGGTGTAGCCAATACGATCCTTTAATCGATGTGAGACTTCAGCGAGTTTCAAAGGTTTCGTCTCAGGAACAACTGTGCTGAAGAAGAATCAGTGGAAAATGATTAAGATGATAAGGAACTAGAGAGTATCATTAGTTCATTACACATATTATCATGACTCACTGAGCTTTTCTGCAATAGGAACATCTTTCTCCCTTCTCGATTCTGATCCTGACTCATGTAGTTCCTTTGCCTTGTCAATATGGGCAAGAAGAATCTCGTCCATTGAAGAACAGAATTTTTCGACTTGGTAGTGAATGTTCTCTTGAACCTGCTTCTGTTGCTCAGATAATGTGGCTTTACTGGCAATCTCGATGATCTCTTCTGCATCTGCCTCTTCGGCATCTCGTCCCAAACGATTATAGCTATATCACAGAGAATATTTCGTGAGCAATATAACCGAATGAACTTTATAACAATGGCGGGTACTAACACTGAGCTTATAGTCTATAAAGTATAAACAGAAACTCATCATCATTACATTAAAAAATAAAAAACAACCTTGTATACATAAACAGCTTGTTGATGTCGGCTTCAAATTGTAGTTGGCTTGGATGCTTAGCAAACGTGTTACTCTTAGCTAGAACACCAACACCCTGGAAACCTCACAAAGTAAGAAACCAGATCTCAGAACTTTCTGATCAAAAGGAGGGTAAAATTTCCGACAAACTGAGATTTTCAGTCACACTAATACCTCAAAACCTGTCGCAATAACATAAAATTGTTCATAGAGAAACTTAAAACTACATTTACCAACAGAAAGCGAATCGTTGAGAGTTAATGAGCTTCATAGTACTCACTCGCATATGCTAAAAGCTACAAACAGAGTGATACATAGCTAAGTTCAAAGGTAGCAACTTTTCATTTAATGAAGGACTAAATCCTACAGAAGACTCGACCTTTCTTCATATCCAGCATGTAAAAAGTAAAAACCCATACCAAAGAGGAAATTTCAACAAGAAAAAATTTGTTGGAAAAGGACTGGAAGATAAGAGTATTTATATCACCTGCTGAAATTTGTTGAAAAGGAATGCAATTTTCGCAAACGCCATTACTTCTCTCCTCTCTTCGAATCGAGAAGCAGAGAAGAAGAGGAGTCGATGGTGTGCTTCAGTTTTCTTTGGAAGATTACAAGTCAAACGACGCAGGTGCTGCCTCGCCAGTCGCCTCACCTAAACCATTCCGCTATGGTTGGATCCAGTTCATGTTAATGGGCCTCAATGTACCCCCGTTCACTGTTTTTGTTATTTCAAGGGCCCTTTCGTCTCTCCCAAATTTTGTCAAATTAAGTGTTCGATTTTAACTGAAAACAAATAATATGAGTCTCAAAATTAAAAAAATTAATGTAACAGAGTGAAAAAAAAAAAAAAAACATGTACTGAACTTTGATAACCAATAAAATTATTTGAAAATTATTAATTCATTTTTTATTCATCAATTGAAACTTATTAAATCAATTGCATGGGTAAAGTACAAAACAAACGTTCCCAATTAAACGACAGCTTCTTGCCATGACTTGGCGTATCATCAGAAGCGTTTTGAAGGCAAAGGGACTGAAGAAAGGAAATGAGAGAATAAGGTGAGAGATTGCTGGGGAGCAAAGGCCGGAACCTGGTGGCCGGCTCCTCTCACCGTGACAAAACTTAGCCCTCCGGCATAAGTCTCAACCCATCCAGCTACTTGACTCTTGTGGAACCATGACCTCCACGGCGACTCCACCTTAAGTCCCATCTTTTTTATGCTGTAACGCGTTGATGTTACTGGAACTCTCCCATCCGTATCTCCGCTATAATTAATTAACCAACATTATTTGAACCCAATCAATTTAGAAATTAACTGACAATATATATATTGGGATTTTTTTCTCTTATGAACAATAAAGAAAATAATCAATACCTATAGATCCAGATGCGGAGGCCCCCCTTCGAGAGCTTCTGGATGATGGGAATCACGGTTGATGGAGCATCATTCCATTTCCTTATGACGTCACTGAATCACACGTACATACGCATACATATATATATATGTTGTTATTTTTGTCCAAATATATATATATATATATATACAGTGGCGGAGCCAGCCGTGACATTTACATGGGTCATTTTGATTTTTTTTCTGAGCTATAGAGTGACCATGAGGGTCAATTGACAAAGCTATAGAGCTATCAGTATGTGTATACTATAGTACTAATTGCCAAAGGCTAGAGATTTTGTTATTAGAAACATGATCAAAATTAACTAGGATTATCCAATATCCGATTTCTACTAATGAAATGTTATACTAGGGCAATAACTTAACATATAAAGTAAAACAAAGAAAGTCTCTAGCCTTTGGCAATTAGTACTATACGCAATGTAAGTATGACTAACCTGCAAGGAGTGTACGGATAAGGAATGTTTGTTACGTTCGCATGGAGTGCCACCTGCACATCTTTCCGGTTAAAATACTTTTCGGCATACCCTTCAGTGCATGGATCGTACCCGGCTGGCATCGTGTCCCACATGTCCTGAACCATTTAAACCTTTACAATGAGATATGAACGATGATGGTTACAACATTACAATGGTACAGTATGATGAAGTAGTTAATAACGTACGTCCGATGTAAGGAGGCGAGGAGACACAACGATTTTAGGTTTTCTTGGAGAGGATGAGGACAAAGAGGATAGGCAAACGGGAGTGTAGATGCTGTATATATCGATATCTGAGTAAGCGTCCATGAACCCTTTGAAATTGGCGTAGCATTGTTGGGTCTTGTTGGTGGCTTCTTCCTCAAAACGGCACGAGCCATGGATGTTAGTGTGGACCTCGTCCGATATTATAGCGTGGCTCCATGCGTAGTCCACTAGTCCTGCCATGTCTGTTGCCTCATTGATCACCGCGTTTCCTATCTGCAACGCAGTCACAAAACCAATACCTTTTATGTTTACTTATATCGCAAGGAACGTTGCTTCCTCGTCTTGCAAGTACATAGTGTGCATACCATGAAACCCTTGAGATTGATCTGAGTGTCTTTTGTAACCTTCTTATTCCTGTCGTAGATTGCCTCCGCAAGCTGAGGAACATAGTGACCTGAGAAAAGTTTTAAAGTCATAGCAAACCAATTCGAACAAGATTAAATCGTTCCTATTTTGGTATATATACTTCATAGTATAAAACACTTTTTTCTTTGGGATAAAGCACTTACCGGCGTAACTCTCTCCGGAGATGTAAAAGTCGTTGGTTCGGAACTCAGGGAATTTCATGAACCAATTGATCAAGAAGACAAGCGAGTCCGCTGCGGTAACTTGATCCCCAAGCTTCTGAAGATCCATTGGGTTATTGGTATACGAGAACCCAACCCCAACTGGTGCTTCCAAGAACAACATATTGGCCTCTGCACACCAAAAAAAAAATGTAACAACACCAGTTAATATTCGTATACACGTAGATAAATCTTATATAAATAGTAATCTAATTGGCGGTACCTTTGTTCCAAGAAAAATTATTGTAGGTAAGGTTGGCACCGTTAGTGTGGACAAGGAAAGGGCCTAGTTCTTGTGCAGCTCCATAAGCTATTGATGAGCAGCCCGGTCCTGCGTATTTTACTTTTGAATTTAGTTGATGCAAACTTTTCACCAAATATGCTAGTAAGTATAGCAAAAAAGTTTGAAAATAAAATGAAAATTTGACCAAAGTAAATAAATGGTTTGAAAGAGACGTAAACGATTGTCGAAATCATGTGGAGTTCACGGATTTGTCAGATAAGCAACTAAATTTGTCAGAAAAATAAAAATGAATAAGATTAGTCGTCGATATATATGTTTGAAATTAACTACCAGTCTATCAATTTTGTTATGAAATAACTACTATTAAGGTTTGATATCATTGATTAGATGGGATTGATGCTATGTATCGATCCTTTTAATCAAGCAATTCATGTAAAGGTGATATCTACTATCTAGTTTTGAGACGCGACCTGTCCACAACTCAATATTTATTATTAGACAGAGACAAGCTTTTTGTCTATTTCTATATGTATTATAAATATTAAACATCTTATCCCAATCTCTAGCCCCAATATAAAGACGAGCTTGATATTTTCTTTTCTCGTATCTCTAAATATCCTGATATCGGAATGAGCCGTTTGCGAATAAAGTAAATTCGTTAAATTGAATGAACAACTACCGAGAGGGAAAAAAAGAAAAGAAAAAGAAGATAAAGACAAAAAAAGACTTCAGAACACTCTCTAGAAACACAAGATTTGGACATTCATTGTTAAATAAAAAGGACATTGAATGTTAATGATACGAGTTCAATATCTGTCAGAGAGCCGGACCACCATTCACGTCTTCGTTATATTTTCTACCGAATGTGTATACTATAGTATGCTTTATTTCACATCTTCATAACAAATTTTGATGGAAAGGTTGATTTCCAATTTTATGATAAACTAATTGGTTTACTCAATTAGATCGAAGTTTCTTTTGAAGTGAAACTGATTTCCAAGTTTCACGTAAATAGATTATGGACAGGAGAGGAGTCTATTATAGGCAAACAATAATTCAATATTTTGTCCCGAAGAGGCAAGAACCTACTCGTTCCTCCACCGTGCATAGACCACAGAGATATTGAAGTGCGTTCCACCAAACGAAATACTACTATTAATTAAATTTTGTCGGCATTCCCAACTATCACATTTGCTATCACACTTCTCCATCAAGCACACAGTGGGAACCAAAGATATCGTTGAATAGTATGACTGAATGGTGTGTGTTTTTGGCAACTTTTCTTGAGCCATATATATACGACGTCTAAGTTATAGATACGTCTACAAGAATATAATCATATATGATATGATTTTACAAACAATATATATATATATATATATATGATTTTACAAACTATATATATATATGCTTTCAACAATTGCATTTATAGATTTTATAGATTTTCAACAATTGCATCGAAACGAAACGAGCATTTACTCTCATATATTACAATATATATGCGTTATATAATTGTATTTCTAGGAAGTGCTTAGTAAGTTAAATAGAAGGCAGAAGGGTTGTCTCTAAATCACGAGCAGATTGAATTTGGTAGGACAAAGTTTAGTTAGATATATCTTATAAATAAACTTGTAGTCCAAAACCAATTTCGTGTCTATATGTTAGGCCAAATCTTTGCACATAAGTTTTTTTTATATTAAACAAGTTTACGGCAAACAAATACTGTATTATATTCTTGGTTCTATATTTTCCAAACATCATTCACGGGCATCGTGATTAGACATCTACTAACCTAATTACCATGTCCCACGAGGCCACGAGCTAGATCATTTACGCCTATTTTTACAAAAATAGTACTATATATATATATATATATATATATATTACTTCTTAAGTAATTTGTTTTTAGGAAAAAAAAAGATTGTTCTAAAATATATCTCAATGATTGTTTCTTAATCTCAGATAAAACCATTAGAATTTAAAATTATGGTTCCAGTACAATTTTATTAGCGGTACATACATATCAATGTGTACGTACATATATAAATATAAAATATATGTTGGCAAAACAAAACTATGCAACATATATTTTGTATAATTTATCAATCAACATGAAAACAGTCGACGAAATGGAAGTAATTTAAGTTTAGTTCGAGAATATTCAAAATCTGAAAGACCAGTATACAAAAAATTCATCATGTATTGTCAAACCGCGCAAAAACAGTGAAAATTCGAATGAAATTGCGAATTAGAAACAATTCAAAGTTTGTATATATTACTCTTAGGTCAAATAAAAGTTATGTATGTGTGAATTATATAAGGGAGAGGGAAGAAGGAATGAGAAAAGCTGACCTCCGTTGAGCCAAAGGACGAGAGGACGACGAGGAGAGTTTTGTTGGGCTTCGAAGAACCAATAGAAAAGTGCTTTCTGCTTCTGTTCAGGCCCCAGATTCACGTAACCGGCGTAATGTTTAAAGTTAACCGTTTGCTGACCGGGCAAACCGGTTACAAGGTCATCTTCTTTCCTCCCGGATGAAGCCGTTGCCGTTGCCGTTACCTTCTTCTCCGGTCTCATACCACAGGCTATCGCCGGTAACACCAGAACACACAGTAGCCAAAGTGCGTTCTTCTTCATCGCCAAACGCTTTCTCCTCTCTCTCTCTCTCTCTCTTTTGTTTTTTCTTTTCTCTGTTCTTTCGAGTTTCGAAATAAAAGAGCAG